GTCGTTTCTCCCATCGCTCGGGAGTCAAAGCTGCGAATTGCTCGTTACTTTCGTGAATTCGTTTTTCCTCCTTCATTCGGAGCATTGCCGCGTGGCGTTGATAAGAGCGTCGAAAGTATGAAACCTGAAATGCTCGTTCCGATAAGAGTCCGATCTGAGAAGGCGCAAAGACGCGGCTCGAGAGAATTCATCACTCGTTAGGGCAGTGTCACGGGACAGATAGAAAAGAACAAGCAGGCGCGTCGTTACTTTGAACATTATCCAATGCTCCGAGAAGAATTGCAGCACAAAGGCAGTCTTCAGCGTGCGCTTTGCCGCGTTCGTTTTTTTTTTGTGCGCCGCGCCGCGCCGCGTCGCACGCACGGAGACGCTCGTAGGCACGTGCTAATTTCCGAGGCACGTGTGTCTTTTTGTACGTATCAGCGGTCTTCGTTCATCGTGTTACGCGAACGTGGCGAATTTCGCGAGGTAGTCGCCGAGACTCAACTGTGCTTTATTGCGACAAGGTGGCGTCGACAAGCGAGGAAAAAAAATGCGAGAGATTCTGTAATCCTCGAACGATGCCTCTCGGCTTAGACAGCGTCTATACAATTAATTTGTAAAGATAATCGTGTGCCTATTTACAAAATGCGGAAACTACAAATGCTCTCTCTCTCTCTCTGCGTTGCTAGCCGCATCGTGAATCATGACGCGTTATTAACGTCTGAGATAGTATTCGGAGTCCCGCGTTTTCGCACTCCCGCGTTTCGTTTGCCGCGGTGAGAATTTCACTCCTCTTCTCTCGGGGCAGCTCGGTATAAATAGACGTAGTACTAGACATTGCGGAACGCGCGATAATACCCAAGGCACGCTCGAGGACTCGGGGGAGCGTAGTAAATTCGGGCAACTAACGATGGGATAAACCAGGATAAACGTCGTATAAATGGAATTATTCCTCCTTCTTTCCGAACAACTCCTTACGCGTCTTGCTCTCTTTGCTACTCTTCGCTTCCGTAAACTTCCGCGTCCTTCGATCGTAGCTTATTATCCGCAATAGGATGCTCACAAGTCTTTTTCGCTCCTTTGATTCTGCGAGGAATTTCCTCTTGTAGCGAATTCGGTTGCTTGCACTAGTGCGCACCGAGTGCGCGTTAAGACTTGTTTATAGCCGATTCTTATGTTCAAGATTGTCGTAAATACATGTTCCAATCTGTATTGATCATTTTACTGAAGCCTAATCTACAATGTGCTGTCTGCGTCTGGAAACATTCTATTTTATATAAACAAATGAAAAGGCTTCAAAAATTGGTCAACACTGTACGATTATACAATTTATCAGCTTGCACAAATTTCTTAAACGTATTCATTGGCTAGAAAGTAGAACGTTTCCAGACGCAGAGAGCACGTTGTAGATGAGGCTTAAAAAGTATTTCAAGAGGTATTTAAGATGATCCTTAAATATAAAAATTGACTGTAAACAAGTGTTAGTGCGCACTAGTGCAAGCAACCGAGTTCGCTATTAGATTCAGTTGGGGTTTTTTTTTTCCATAAATGGAAATGGAGAAATAGATGGAGATATCGAACGCCACAACGTTAGAAGAAAAAGACGTGTCCCGATGTAAATGGCGGAATCCGTTCTGTTTGGCGACACACGTGCTCGCGTTTACGATGACGCGCTTGTCAGTTCGGTACTCGGTAGTACGTATAGCTTGCGGTGCGACTTGTGTGTCTGTACGCGGTCGAAAGAGACGAGAGGAGCAAGGAGAGATGTAAAACTCTCTCGAAATTGTTGGCGTATATAAGCAACGAATGTTATGCGATAACTAGGTGAGTCGAGCTTATCGTCGGGCCGCAAAATACCGCGATATTCGATCAATACCGTGAGGTATACATTCGACGGGCGTGCACACACGCAAATGTACAGCACGTTGCGAGGGACGTTTGGCGGTTTAGCCGTGCGCCGCCGGGCGAGCGGAAAAATGGAAAGGATGATTCTGAAGAGAGACGGGAATAGGGAACGCGCGTACCCGTATACACGGACAGGCTTGAGCCGCGAGCGGCCTGCGGCCTGAGGCCTGAGGGGAGGGGATCGGCGGGTAACAACGGGATGGTAGCTACCTGAGCCACCTGAGGAACCTTTGGGAAATTCAGCTAGGCATAATGATAGATCGCTGGCACTTCTCTATCAAAATTTGAGTCGCGAGCACAGCTGTTGGGGACATTTCCAACACTTTCGGAGCAAAGATTTCGACGACGCCAACGAGACAACCATGTTTCTCGCCGTTTTCACTCGTTTCGACGCGATGTTGCACACTTTGTACTTTATCGATCTCTCGACAGAATATTGTGTATGTAATTCTGCTCCATGTACTTTCCTATTTATTTTATATTACATTCTTTTTTTCCTTTTTTTCCTTCACGTGTAATTACGTGCGATACGGCAGACGAAGAAATCTTTTGCAGTCACAATTTTTATTGACTATCGACGGGCGCGTTATTTTCTCTTAACATACGATACAATACACAATATTAAGAAATTTGTGTTCACGTGGCAAAACATGATCCAAATAATTAAACGCTGTGTCTTTAAGTCTAGAATTAACACGTTGCGTGCAATGATTTCTCTTTGCAGATTTGGTGTTTTGCTGTTTATTTGCAAAACAAGGGAGACATGGCTGGTATCAGCAATAGGACACTCTTGCGTAGTATCAATCCACATCTAATCTGTCTACTATGCAGGGGCTACCTTATAGATGCCACAACCGTAGTAGAGTGTTTACACTCCTGTAAGTAAAATCTAGATTTAAGTAGTTGAAATTTCTCTATTGGATCAACAGCGTTGAATAATATCTTGTCATTCAGTTTGTAGAAGCTGCATCGTCAAGTATCTCAATAATGCAGCGCATTGCCCGACATGCAAACATACAATCAACAAGGCGAAGCCAAATATTAAGTATGTATTTATACAACTTTTTATATCGGTTATATGCATTTTTAATTTTAAGTAATAACAGACGATTGGATTATTATTGAAGATTAATTGAGATTGCGATCTCTTTGCAGAGCTGACAAGACGTTACAAGAGGTCGTGTATAAATTGGTGCCCGGGTTATACCATAAGGAAATGCTGAAAAGGAGAGAATTTTACAAGAAGCATCCCGAACACGGTAATTAGTCGTTCCAGGGCAGTTTGCGTATATCTCGACATGATATTCGTAATTAATAAAACGACATTGTAAATATTAAATCTTAATTTTCAAATAATTAGCAAGCTCGGCAACGCTGGAACAGCGCGGCGAGGATGTAAGCGGACGTTTAATATTTAATCCAGAGGATGTAGTGAGTTTGAGTTTGGAGTACTTGCCGCCGGGAGCAGATGCATTGTCCGTATTGAGTAACAACGACATGGATACAAGCAACTCGAACAATGCCAACAGTACTAACGATAGTAACAGTAATTACAACGGCAATATCGCTAACAGAAGGTATTTGCAATGTCCAGCTCTGGTAACTGTGGCACACCTCAAGAAATTTATAGCGATGAAATATAGCGTTGACATGACGAGATACTCGATCGAGATTTGTCATCGACGCGCGACACTTCCCGAAAACTGGACTCTTATGGACGTCGCTTATATTTATGCGTGGAAAAGGGTTTGTATCATCAATAACTCGTTCTCAAATATAGTACATAAATTTCGTCAATGTAACAACAAGCGTTATAAGCTAGATTTATATTCCTGCAGCACGTATCTATTACAAATATATTCTATAATTAATATATTTTCTTTATATAGAAAGGAACTTTTATATTATTTAATTAAATTTTTTGTGCAGATTGCACCGATGAGGTTTTTCTATCGCGTGGCACAAGAGGAACAAAGACTCGAAGCACCGTCGCATCAAAGACCATCGACTCCAGGACTCGGAGCTCGGGACTGTGTACCACCGAATGAGGCGCGGAATGACAGTAACGTAGAGAATAAACCTGTTAACAATATAGAAGCTTCTAAATTAACGATTAAGCCTGCGAACGACAATATTGAGACAACAGTACCGGCAAAAGATTCAAAGAAGATTACCAATAACAAGATAATTTCGCCTGTAAATCGCAAGCAAACAACAGTCTCCAAAAATGAAACTACACCGACGACGACGACGACTACGACGACGACGATGATGACGACGACGACGACGACGACGACGACGACGACCACGACCACGACAATGATGACGTCGACGACGACGACGACGTCGACCACGACCACACCCGCAATATCATCAACGTTAACGACACCAAGTGTCACAAAAGCGTTGACCACAACGGTAACAATTACTTCTCCCTCATCAACAACGACTGCATCTCCCTCAACAGCAACGAAAACATCTCCCTCATCAGCAACGAAAGCATCTCCCTCATCAGGAACAAACACATCCCTCTCGACGACATGTAGCGATTCGAATAAGCAGATAAAAAGCCCTATTAAGATACTGAAGAATCCGGACGGAAGATACGAAGTGTTGAAAAGTCCGCCCGCTGCTACCGTAACAGACGTTAAGAGTCCCACGAGTCCTAATCCCGAGTTTAGTGTTGTGAATTCTAATGGTGTAAAGCTAACGTTGAAGCAGTGTTCGCCACCGCAGAATAATAACTCAAAAAAACCAAAAGTCATCAGCAATATTTTACTGCGTCCCGGCGTCCAAATAGAGAAAAATACGCCACAGCCATCGAGTGCATTAATGACGCAGCAATTGCAACACCAAGACAAGGACAAACTTACGACGACGAGTACGCCATTGCCGAATAAACAGGAGAAGCAACGGCGTAAAGTAACCTTCATGGATCGATCTCCGACATCTGAGAAAACCTCTCCCACTACCAGTATTACAATGCCGAGAACCGCATTGAAAAAACCGGCGGAGCAACAGGACAAAAAGCAATTCCTACAAGGTTTTCAGTTGACCGCTAGAGAACCGTCATTGCCGGATGATAGCAAATTGAAGTCTCCCGTTCGAGACATTAGCATTGCAACGAGCACCGCTAAATCTTTTCAAAAGAATAATGCGATACCGAAAATGGAGGAGTCTCCTAAGAAAGATCCTGTTGAGGTCAAGAAGAAGAATAACATAGAAAATACCGGCTCAAACGTGAATAATAGAACCACCACGACAAACGTGAGTACAAAACGTGTTGCCGGAGTGCCTACCAACTCGCGAACGTACACACACAAAACCGACGACGCGGATGGACGTGCGAGTAATTCAGGAACGAGTCCAAACAGCAGCAATCGTGCTATTAAAACAGACGTGTACACCTTCTCCAGCGATCCACCGATTGTTCCAGCTGGAGCGGTCAAAAGAAAGTGTCCTCCAGGTGTGCCGATTGCTGATTTGAAGCGTCGAAAAATATCGCAGGTTGGACAAAAACATCAAATGAACAAGAAACAAAATTCTTCATATAATTCCGCTGCTAATAAGCTATCACCGCGTACCTCTTTTAATGCCACAGAGCATGTTCCTGTAAGCAGAGCAATCACCATGGTAACAGATCACGATGCCGGATCGAGCCGCATATCCAATAACGTAAGTAACGCGAATAACGTGAAAGCATCGACTGGTCCATTGCTCTCGAACGATACTAGAGATCTGCTAGTGGACGGCTACGGTTTAAATATTCCGGCGAGTTTGAGCATAACGCTGACTTCGCCTAAATCTTCGGGATCTTCCGGACAATTGGTCGAATCTAACGAGTCTGTCGACAATAGCCGAAAGACTACGTCGGGCAAAGTAAATCCCAGCATCACATTGAATGACCGTTCAGTCGATCCACGCGTGTTGAAAGCTCTGAAGACCGGGCAGATTAGAATGCCAACTCCTCCGCCGAAAGCTAAGCCAATAACGACAGCAGCTTCGACGGCGGCGACGACGACGACGACCACATTGACGACCGATCGTGGGGAGGCGGCGAGTCAACGTACAACACTAGCCGTCAAACGGAAAAAAGAACACGAATCATCCAGGGACATTCTGGACCTGAGCGGAGGCAACAGAAAGATGGACATACATCCTCTGAGAATTCCACAGCCGGTGCCGAAACTTAATAAGACTAATAAAGTTACAGCAGACAGAGATAATATGCAACCACCGGGAGGTATCTCCGACCAAGGTCAAGTGGTTACGCTCATGAGTGGTCATAGATATTACCGCACACCACCGGGCTCTCTGACACCCGCCGCTCATCGCGTCAACGATTGTCCCTTGCCACCATCGTCATCGCGCACGCCTGTCTACGCGCCGTCTTTCGGTAGTATCAACCGATCGAGCTCGGATCTCTCCTCTATCTTCCCAAGTCTGCCTATTTACGCTCTTCAACAGGCGCCGAATCTTCAACAGTTTCAGCAGATGGACACGACGCGGTTGAGATTGACACAACCGCGATCCGCTGTGGAAAGTAGAGCAATTGGAAGCGGTGACAACATTAATTCCACTATTAGCAGTGTACCGCCGAGAAGTCATCTGGCCGCTCAGTGCGCACCCATTAAGCCGGCGAGATCTTCCGTAGCATCCTTAGCGGTTCCCATTAACAAGCCACCCGCCGAAAAATCCATAAACAATTGTGTCGGCCGATCAGTCTCGGTTGACACGAATAAACCTCTAGCTTTTCGTAACAACGAAACACTCGAACCCACGAATGAAGCTTCTCGTGTCCAAAAGAGATACTCCTCGAGTGTCGAAAGTACAAATAATGGATTCTTATCACGAAACGAATGCGCAAAGAATAACGATCAAGCCACAAATGAGACAATTAGGAATTCGAGTGCCGAGTCCAGGAACGAAACTGTCAATACTGATAATTCAGTGCAGCAGCAGCAGCAGCAGCAACAACAACCACCACAACAACAACAACAGCAGCAGCAGGAGCAACAGCAACAGCATCGCGAGGCAATGAGTCCTAATATTGTATCATCGACGGCTTCAACACCACCACCTCCTAGCAATGGTGGCATAAATGCAAGGAATGAGGTTGGTGCTAACAACAGTGATACTAACATGAATAGCAACGATTCGAATAGAGGTAACAACGCGACGCCTGGTCAGACGAAGAGCACCAGCTCCGAGGTAATGTGCAGCAAATCGCCGGATAGTCCGGATTCCAGTTCGATCACAGTAGAGAATTTGAGCACGAGTAAAGGCTCAACCTTAACTGATCGGGAAATGCCATGCCCGACGGACGCCCAGACGTCGCCGGACACGGCAAAGGCCTCGGAATCAACAGTGAATCCAGATAACACCACCGTCGACAATTCGACCGCTAATGGCAACAAGAATAAGTCGCCCAAGAAATCGGATCCGAATGAAATCGCGAAACAATTGACTTCTGTGCAAAAAAGTTTGCTAGCAGTTTTTCCTTCAACCGAATGGGCGAAAAATCCCATAGCTGCCCAACATCTGGGAAACTTTCTTAAAAGTTTGAATGCCACGATAAAGAGCGAGACATTCACCGAAGGATCCAAGACGGAGAAAATCGATCGGAAGACCATCGGTAACGAGAAGAAGGAGAATCGGTAATGATTTCTTCGTGAGAATGAGACAGTATCCAAGGCAATTGCGAGCGATCGTAATAATGAAACTTATGACATTTCAAAAACGATATGTCTACGTAATATTTAATATTTACATGACAACTCGACACAGGATTTTACAACTTTGATGAGGATTTTGTTTTGTTCATCTTGATCGATTGTAGACTAAAGATTTAACTGAATCGTACCTAATTGTGTCTCGTTATACACACGGAAAACAGTGGTGAGAAAAATGTGTGGCAAGCCGAGCACGGATAAACTCTGAGACACTGCCATGCAAATGGAGAGATGCACGAAATTATTTTTAACTGACAATGAGATGTACACAGTTACTACAATTCGCGCAGTGCGAGGAGAGAAACTTACAGACGAAAACAACATTACGTTATACTATATACGCATATTATAAAAATACATATGTAGTGTAAAGAGCAGTAGACCGAAAATCTTATTTTTTCAAATTTTTAAAAGTAATCTCACACATTGAAATAATCTATATGAAATGATCTATACAGACATCGCTAGTTTGAAAAGAAACTTATAATATTCTGGAAGAACGCTATTGTTTTAATCTGAGAATTATGCATATAAAAAAAACATGTTTTAATCAATACCATAATTGATCAGTTGAAATGGCTCATCCCGCAAATGAGTTGTATCTTGCATATTTGAAGAGCCAATGCTTTCGGAATTTGCTATTACATTTGGATCCTCTAAAACGAATTATCTAATAATAATGTACAGTCCAATCTCTGTATTCTTAACATGTCGGGACCAAACTCTCTGTATTCTTAACATTTTCTTTCGGATCTTGTTCTAATGGCATATGCAAAGAATGAAATTTTTGGGTCTCTTGGTCTGCACGAACAATTGCATGTATGATGACATATGAATACAGATAAAGCAAATGTGAAATAGTAAATAAAATTATGCGTAAAAAGATACTAAGAATACGGGGAGATATTAGGAATGTGGAGATTCGACTGTAAGTGACTGTTTACAATTGTATAGAGAAAGTAACGAAAAGCCAAAGGTAGTCCAAGCAAATTGCAAACCGTATTCGCATCCAATCTTTCGAATTTTCCTTATTATAAATTCAAAGTCATCTATACAATATATATGTCGCACAAGTTTCTTGTGTAATAAAACTTTATTAGTTCATATCAAGTGTTAGAAAATTGCAAATTTCAAGTATTTTTGATCTTCCATTTTATACTTAGCATCATCGGATTCTGATCTCAGAATGTAGATTTGAATCCGAAAAACAGACATTTAAAAGTTGAAAATAATTGAAAAATATTTATAAAACTACAATTTTTTAAACGACACATTTTATATTGTTCTTACATAAACACCGTATATGAAGCAAATTTATGAAGGAGGAATATTCACAGGATTTTTTCATAGAATTGCGAATTGTTAACAAAAAATTATATTTTAATGTATCAAGCTTTTATTTTTATCTCAACTATCTATAGCTATATATTTTATTACATAATGTATGTCGCACTAAACTGGAGATAAAGATTATAATACATGATGCGAATACTGTTCTATATATATATACATGTATACAAATCAGAACAATATTCTTCGAAAAGAATGAATAGTTCAGTCAAGTGCTGTATTGTTAGTCTAACTTAATTTTTTATGTTATGTTTCATGTATTAACTTGCGTAATATCGACACGTTGTATAATAATTGTTGCATACGTTATGCGATCGCGCGCAATGCGTTTGTATTATATTAATTATTGTATTATTTCGGAATTGTATATATTTATAATTATTATAAAATAGCAAGAGAGCGGGACAAAGTTCTTGCCTCAAGATTTCTGTTATTTTATAAATCGGAAGTTAATTGAGTGCGTTTTCCTGTGTTTAAGTATTAATTTTGAAGAAAGTAAAATCGTATATAATGAAAATAAATATAAAATGAAATACACGACGATCACGTACAGTCGTGGTCAGAGAGGTTGTCCGACGTTTTATGCTAAATTTCGGAAATACAGTCTATGCGAGAGATTATAGCTTTTCCTCATAGATATGTGCAGTAATGCATTATTAGAGCAAAGGAATGATATGTACCAATATCTATGCAATACATGCGAATTCCGAAAACTTTTTCTAAAACGTCCAACAACCTTTCTATGACCATACACCTGAACATAAAACACTGACATGAGCATTCAGAGTGTTGTGAGCTCATTACAATTGAATTACGTTCCTACTGTAAATTTGTTCTCCGACTTACGTCAACAAAACAGAAACGTGATTTTTATTTCTCGTTCTACGTATTATCATGTGACAAATGTGAAGCGTATTGTCATTTGACAAATCTGAAGAAAAGAAATTGATATACGAACATTCAACCAGTTCACATTATATTTTATCGTGTATTACTTTGTACAATTCTTGTATACAATTTATGTTGCATCTATTTCCGAATAAATTTCTTCTAAAGCATTTTTTTCTATTTCTCTCGAATCTTTATAACAGTTAAGTAATGCACCGTAAATTAGCTATTCATGTTACTGGCAGTTCCATACATAAAGCAATCTTAAATTGTTAGATAAACATAATATTTTTCTAGTGCCATCACGATTGTAAAGTCATTAAAAAATATCGTTATGTTAGATTTATCACAAATTTACTTTGTCTTTACACCAAATATGTCGTTCTCCGAAAAAACGACGTTACGCGTGGTTCCTGTGCATGTGTCGGACACATATTTATCTTGCTTTTTATATTTTTTAACTGCTACTTTACCTGCGTTCATGCTTTCCAACAGCTATATTTTCAAACTTGAAAGCATATAAAGATTTAGAAATTAACTTTCATTTTAAAAAAATATAGCTGTAAGCTATAGGCATAGACATAGTATATATAGACTGCGCGTTCCCTACTTGACTCGCGTGAAAACATGTGCCAACTTTAGAACGAATACGTCATTGGCTAAAACTTTTCTCATTTCAAATACCAATCTTAAAACGCGAATATAGATTCGTGGGTCGCAAAAGTTGTGTTTTTTTAACACAGAAACATTCCGAAGTTGTCACACTTGCATACGGTATCCATCTTTCTTTTCTTCGGGCTCAACGGCTTCGGCGATGACGGCGATCGGCATTGTCGACCAGTGATCCCAGCACAGATATCTCTGTGGATCCCAGTTGGTGTACTTATAAGTTAAAAAGAACGTATACGCTATCGAGCGGCTGTTGAAGCTAACGCTACTGCGCATGCGCCTGAATTCCTACGAACTAGGATCACTGTTGCCGACCATTGCCTACTGTCACCCTAAGGTACTCCTTCCATCACTGTGCAGGTTATCTGATGTTGCGAATTTGTACGAGCTGTTTGTGAATTAATATCTCTGTCTGTGAATTAATTAAGCGTTTCCAAGATGAATGCGAAGGAGAATTCAACGGCGCCCACGACGAAGGGCACAAACGCGTCAAATGCGCCGAATGCGAAGCCCTACGGCAAGATCGTATTGTCGTTGCAAAACTGTCTCCTGCCCGAGGACAAGCTCAACTCCACCCCGTCGCATTCGGATGGTCTTGACGCGGAAACTGAAACGGACCTGCGGATATTGGGATGCGAACTCATACAAACGGCCGGGATTCTGTTAAAATTACCTCAGGTGGGTCTTGCCGCGCCAATATGATTCGAGTCCGAGTCTAATTTAAATCCTAACCACAATGTTTCTAGACTAGTCTAGAAATCTTTAAGTGTAGTATACTTTCACGTGTCTATGCATTAACCGTTATCCCAGTTTTGCGCGTTTCATTTTGTTTGGATTGTATACGCTATCACTCTACTTAATTTTTCTCAATTCGTATTGTTGCAAATTTCCACTTGTAGTTTACATGCGTTAATATCGATTGGGTAAAACGTTGCCAAAATTTGGCATTATCGAAACAATATATGGGATTAAAAGAGGTAGTTGAATTGTAAGCTTTGCTAAATCCTACAAAAAGTCCTACGGAAATAGATACTTGTACGTAGAATTTTCTTTTCTTTCCGATAAGATGTTTAAGCGTTAAAGCAATTCTGTCTAAAAGTATATCTGATGACTACGTTATTGAAATTTCTTATATGTTAAAAAGTTATTTGCTATTGCGGTTAATCCTAAGGCTTTAACCCTTTGCGGACAGAATTTACAATTGTACAATCGTTTGCTTAGTACAAAACTGACAAAAACAGCTCAAGTTGTATGTACTTTCCAGAGTCTCGATTTGCAGAGTGGCTAATGTAGACAAATGAGAGTGACAATGTGCTGGATGTAAGTCGACATGTGTTGCACAGCAAAATCCAAGTGCGCCGACAGAAATCTCTCTACTTGTGTCCATAAAGGGTTAAATATTGTCGATACGTCAAAAATTATGTTATAAAAGAGTACAATCTAATCGTTGTTTTCGTCTTTTTTTCATTTTCGCAGGTTGCAATGGCTACGGGGCAAGTAATATTCCAACGGTTTTACTATAGCAAGTCTTTAGTTAGACACAATATGGAGACTACTGCGATGGGTTGCATCTGCTTAGCTAGCAAGATCGAGGAAGCACCTAGGCGCATCAGGGATGTAATCAACGTCTTTAATCATATAAAACAAGTATCCAGCCAAAAGTAAGTTGCCTCTCTTATTATTAAGGGTATTTTTAGGCATACAAGCTAATATGAAAATGCTCGAAAAGTAGAAAAAGAATTAGAACTAAAACTCATCTGCACAATTTGTTTCAGAGCGATACAACCCGTGATTCTCGATCAGAATTATGTAGCTTTGAAGAATCAGGTGATTAAGTCGGAGAGGAGAGTGCTGAAAGAACTGGGTTTCTGCGTTCATGTAAAACATCCTCACAAAATCATTGTAATGTATCTGCAAGTGTTGGGATATGAGAAGAATCGCACGCTGATGCAGCAAAGTTGGAACTATATGAATGACTCGTTGCGCTCCGACGTGTTCTTGCGTTATCAGCCAGAGACAGTGGCGTGCGCGTGCGTTTATTTGGCCGCTCGTCAGTTGCAGCTGCCTCTACCCACACAACCCGCTTGGTTCTCGCTGTTTGGAGTCAGCGAGTCGGCAATCAGAGACGTGTGTCGACGTATATTGCGTCTTTATTCACGGCTTCGCGTAAGACCTGAACAGTTGGAGAAACGCGTCGAAGAATTGCGACGTCAGTATGAAGAGGCAAGAACTAAAGCGCGCGGCGGAGACATTGACGGGCATACCCCAAGCCCACCGTTGCCAAAACATCACAATGCCTGGGGGGGATTCATCAGTCGCAGTGGCACTCATGCAGCTCCCGAAAGAACAAAGTCGCCTAGGTACGATAATGTCTTGACACGAATATAAAGGCCTGCATCTAAATGTTAGAACTTTGTCCAAGTTCTAGCATCGTGGACACAGGCCTTGAAATAACAAATGAGGATAAACGCGCACATGTATAAAACTATTACAACGTTTGATTATTTTTAATTAAAGATGTAGAGCACTAAGATAATTATGTCAATCTTTAGTAGTGTATTTATTTCATATAGTCACAAATTACGATAGCTCTTGTGCATTACATTGTCTAATTTGACTTGTGGAAATCAATGTGGTCATTATTGCTTGCAAAATTTTACATTGATCTTTACATCATAAAAGTTTATGAATAGAAGAAATTTCTCGTCAACGCGTATATTCTCAAATACTATTTCATGTATTTCAGGCGCTCAAAATCTCCAAGTACTTCCCCATCGCGATGCGAAGAAACAAAGTATTCCAGTAAGCGAAAAAGGCATAGCAGAAGTAGATCTCGAAGTCACAGTCATAGTAGGTCCAGTAAATCCAAAAAGACACAACGAAGACGATCAGGTAGCCACAAGTCGTCACGAAGATCGCGTAGTTATAGATCGCGAAGTCGCTCACGGGACAGAGATTTGGAGAAATCGAGCAAACACCGTAGTAAGCGTAGCAGACGACTACACTAAGTACCGACATATTTCTAGAAGTGTTACATTATGTTAGGAGATATGAATTTATTTACGATTGTAATCAATTTGTAATATACAGCGAGGTCTATTTCCTTTCGCTTATTTCAAAATTAATACTCCGTTTTCCGAGATTACTTTGATTTCGGAGTTTCACATACCAATATTACACGTTACATTCTCGCAAGCGTTTTAACATTTTTATTGTTTACAAGTATGTAATTTTTTAATATTATGAGGCCGATAAATGTGTTTTTTTTTAAATACTGAGCTTAACGGGTAAAAGCATTTTCGTCAGTTTTTAAAAATCTGTTTGGAAAAGAACAACGATATAATTTTAAATATGTAATATCGTATACTTTTCTAAATTTTTATAATGACTGACAAATCTAAAAAAAATATTTAGTAGGAATGATGTAAAGCAGCACTTGTGTGTGTATACAACAGTGTTTATGATTCCACTTCTAGAAATTACAATAGTAATTTTATGATAATTGCTTAACATTATTTACTATAAGATTAAATTTCAATAATCAGATATGTATCGTTCTCAGAATATTAATTTGATTATGCTGTCATATTTTGTGAAGCCACCATACCTCAAATAACCGTAAGTAACGTGGTACAATGTTAGAAGCAAAGTGCGAAGATGAAAATATCGAGGGAATGTGTGAATACCAACAATACGCAATGATAGAAAAATAAAGTTTTATATTCGTATCCCAGGTTGTATCATCTTGAAAAATCCTACGGGCAGCGCCTTTTTCTTTTCAGCAGCAATTACTGGCGAAAAGTCCAAGACGAGCAACTGTGGGAGAAGATGTACGATGTAACCCCTGTAGCAAGGAACGTCTTCAATCGGATTACCATGTAACGTCAGCGACCTGAGATTTTGTAGCTTCCTGAGCTTTACAATGTCCGCGATATTTGCGATTTTATTGCCGTGCAAGTAGAGAATTTTCAAGTTTGTAAACTTCTCTATGTCTTTGTCAACTTGGTTTATCTCGTTGAAAGACAAATCCAACCAACTGAGATACGCGGGTTCATCGAGAACTCTGTCCACGAGACGTGCGAGACCTTCCATCGAGCTCAGCAGATTGTTGCTCAGCCACAATGTGCTGGTTATATAACGGTCCTTGAGCGTTCTCACTGGAGCTTTTCCAGTGCGTATTACTTGCGCACGTTTCTCCATCAATTCTGTGAGAGGTAAAGCAAAGAGATACACTTTTCCGTGACCGCGTAACGAGGCTATGCAGCGCGCGTAATATTGTGATACGTCAATTGCAATAGAAAATTACTTATGTGCACCATCAAAACTCGCAAAATAATAAATTAAGAAATGACATTCAATCCATGTACCGTCCACGGTGGTGGCCTTTTTAAACGATAAGTCTAACGGTGGGGCGACTAGCATTTCCTGCCGTTCGTTTCGCTTGTAATCCGAAGTGTGATCTTGCGGAGAATAATTAGCGCTCATCGTGGATATACTTGAGCTTCGCCGGCAACCTCTGTTAAATCTCGAGAAACATTCGAAGTTGATATCTCGCGGCTTACCGCAAGTTCCATTTTAACTCACCACTTCCGGACGAGCAGTGGCGCTACAGACGCCGCCTTTATTAAGAGAGGGGAGATTCCGGGAGATTGAATTGGGGTGCCCTCCCGCCACTGCTGCCAGCCGGTAAACAGATTGAAATTCACGTTGTCCGCAACGGTTTTCTCTGCTGCACCCAACACCGCACGTACGAGAAAGAGAGAGAGAGAGACTTGGTTATCGCACGAGACGTTAACTCGTCGTCAAAATGCCGAGGACCAAGCGCGCCAGAGCGACCAGCAATTCGACGGAGCGTTACTCGGCGGTGAAGACCTTCGAGAGACACGTTCAGCTTCGTATCGTCAAGATGGAACGTGACGCACAGGCGGCTCTCAAGAGCTTCAGCGCCTTCGTCGAGGTCACAGTTTCTCGTCTACCAATGAAGATTCGTCAGTTGACGTTGGGCGAGTTAATAAACTGGCAAGAGTGCGACAGTCAGAAGGAAAACTCGCCGGTCAAGGATCTTCGTCATATGCAACCACCCGCCGTCCCTAGGCCGAGAAAAACGAACAAGACTGCTAAACGTGCCACCACCGCTGCGTCCGACGATGGATACGTGACCGAAGGTACCAGCGTGGGCAGCACGTCACGGACGACTAAAACACAGACTTTAACCCCAGCGTCGACTGTGAGGACGCGCAGTTTCACTAGAGCAAGCAGAGCAAAACTCAGTGAGATCAATGAGAAGACGGTGACAGCCAAGCCGAAGAATAAGGACCGTCGAAATGGATCTCTACAGAATAAGCTTTTTCAGACGCCAATGATGCAGCCCTTAGGCAACGTGTATAGCGTGGTCACGCCCAAAGTCAAGCCCAACACACCGTTGAACGTGCTGAGACGTCCGCGTCAAGGAGAAATGGTCCTCAGCATGCAGGGCAGCCCGCTATTGGTCTCCGCTGTTGTCGAGGAGAGAACTGCTAATATCAATGTACCTTTGGCTAACGGCAACGTCATGTCCTTGTTGCCTCAAGAAGGATTGCGCATGTCAAACATTCCTTCGCTGGATCCTGAGACAATGCATCAGTTAGAGACTCTTAAGAATCACATTGAGAAAGTTATCTCATTCAAGTAGTAAACCAATGTTAGTAAGTGTAGAATACTACATGTAATGAGTGTAATATAACAGAGTTGTATCGTTAAGTATTTTGTGCATGGAAAGAAAAAGGTGCCTTTGCTTTCTTGCTTTAGTGAAAGCTTTCAAAGATTTAATGTTCTTATAATTTCTTGCAGGTGTAACTCGACTGAGTGGATACAATTCTTTCATTACGATGTAAATATTTATAGAAATTATTTTATGATTATTTATATCTTACTGTATTGTAAACGTTCGATAAACTGACCTATGTGTCTGTACGTTCTTATTTTATAATTTTATACAAGTATAGATATTTCTAACAATAAACTTTAAATATTCATACGATTGCGCATGTCTACGTATATATGTTTAGTGTAACTAGGTTCACTTATATCGTGTAGAAATTCGAATAAATGATATCTCTTTTACTTGAAGATTCGTGACTTGCCCACTTATCAGAGGGAACTCTAAATCACGCTTGTGTTAACGATTACCAGCCTAATTGTAAGCGATACTTGTTTGTTAACATTTTTATATGATTCTCGTTGAAACGTTTGTGACCATGGGAGTCAATTCTGTATCTTACAATATAGTGAAAATGCTAAAAGTGAATAGCCTTGTCTCTTTCTTACAGCCTCCTTAAAAAGAGAACAAATCGTTCACTCTTAGCATTTTCACTATGTTGCAAGATACAGAATTCACCCCCAGATGTGTATAGCAATAACTTTAAGCCATCTGTCAGGTAATTGATGAATTCCATCTCGGAAAAATGTCGTGTCTTTGGATACGATAAATCGGACAAGGCATGTTGATTGTTGCATCGACTAAAACAAGTGGTAATCGGTAGGAACAATGTCTGGTGATAAGCCGGGTGCTGCAAGACGTCCCAGCCAAGACTCGTCATGATGTCTTTTATCATAGAAGAAATGTGTGGCCTGGCGTTATGATGCAACAATTTCATTGTCATAGAGTGAACTGCTACTTGTTGATTTTTGTTGGCTTCACTGCGTTGTTTGTTACTCACAATCAGACTGAAATCTCCGTTTCTAAATCAAAATGCGCGCACATCGTACGACACTTTCGCCGAGAAAGGAACAAATCGATTCGCATGCTCTTACAGCATCTTTTCCTTGTTTGAATTCGTAAAGAAGACAGTGTCGGATATGCACCTTATCCATTGCCATTTTTTACTTTACTAAACTGAATAATTTTTATGGTTATATTGAGCCTTTTGCCATACCAAATATCATTTTTAATAGCTATACGTCAACGTTACATAACCTTAAAAGAGAGAAAAATATATTATTTGAAACTTATTTTCTTATTTTATTTTCTTATTTTCCAAGTGAAGACTTTATCGACAGTACTTGAAAATGGGTGTAGCGGAATATAGTTCCAAAAATGAAAATGGGCGTAAAGCGCTGGAATCAGTCGAGCGAAAACGGTAACAGGCAAAACGCCGGGATGGCCGCTCTCACCAAGGTAGGGATTTGGAACGCACCCCAAGTCAGTCAGTCAGTCCAATCACCAGTTACCACTGTCGCCAGATTGCAGTCATAGCTAAAGAATTCGACGCACTTCTGTCCTTTGTCTTATCAAAAAGAAAGCAAGAGGACAGATTTAGAAGCTTCACGAAGGATATCAAATCCGATACGTAGAATATTAAGCCACAAATTTTGCGAGTGAAAGTGTTTTACTCTCAAGATGGACAAAAGAGATCGCAGACAAATAGATCATTGTTGCGAGAGTGTTGTACCCAAAATTGATATCACGAAACTCTTGCCAAAATTGCTGGAAAACAAAGTTTACAACAGGGATGACGTAAATATTCCACGGTGGAGGGTGAGTTTTATGCTAGCTGCGTAATGCAACAAAAAGGTAGCACTTTTGATAATTATTGCTAACAATCTCTAGTAATCCATGTCCCATTCTTATGCTTTTGTTAAGCTTGGAAAATAACAATTCAATTTTGCATTTTTAAAGCTTCGCATAGAATATCTGGAGTGAGCGTGAGAGAACCATAACCTTTTAGGCTGGTCTACAATACATGGAGTAAGATGGAGTAAGGAAATAAATCCATTTTATTTCTTACTCCTACTTCAGCTCTTAGGCTTACTCTCGGTGAATCAGAATGCCATCAATCAGTGTTACAAATATTTTAAAAATTATGCCCGTATTTCAGCTTCCTTACACCAAAAGCTACAAGTTAGGGCTCTCCCTTACTCCACGCTTACTCCACGTATTGTAGACCACGCATTATGCGTCCTTTACAATGCGTGGAGTAAGCAGTAAGAGAGAACCATAACCTTTATTTTTTGGTGTAAGGAAGCTAAAATACAGGCATAATTTTTTTAAATATTTGTAACACTGGCCGATGGCGTTCCGATTCACCGAGAGTAAGCGTAAGAGCTGAAGCAGAAGTAAGAAATGAAATTAATTTTTTCCTTATGCCTACTCCTTACTCCACGCATTGTAGATGACGCATTAACTCTCTGTATATGGAAACTATATAAATCTAAAATATAGGTATAACTTTTAAAATATTTGTGGCTCTAGCTACAAATACTTTGTACTCTTTACTCCGATTCACCGAGAGTAATTTCCTTATTCCTACTCATCTCTCTTACACTAAGTTTACTACACATATCGATGCTTTAGAGGCACGCTGAATTAAATTTATACAAAAGAATGACTTTTAAAATTATATCTTAAAAATATATAGATAAAGGTTGCAATTATACATCTAAATTAGGTTCAACTTTATTGTATGTTTACTAATCGAATATTATGTGCAGATGGTATAGTATGGTATCTGATTACAGAAAAAACTTGAGGCGCGAGATACAGTCAAGGATGTATTTTTAACAATTAAAACACGCGGACCAAATGCATTTAAAAACTTGATTATCAGTCTAAGACAATCCAACCATGAAGAAGTAGCTAATATATTGGAGGAAAAACATAACAAAAGTAGCAATACAAGGTATTATTATTAAGATTTATTCTTCTGTTTCTCTTTCCTAGCTCTTAATTCATTATATCAGCCTAACTTTGAGATAGGCTTATTACAAGTTCAATTAATTTTTACATGAGCGATCAATCTTTCAAAATATTTAGAAATATTGTTGAATTCTTTTAGAAATTTTTAAAATCTTATTTAAACGTATACTTAGTTACTCTAATAGTTGGACGATTTTGACATTTATTTGAATTTCAGGCAAGAGGATCCATTGACTCATCATATTTTTTCTGATAAACCTTTAACGATCCAAGTACGCAAAGCTACAAGATTCTTAGATTGCGAGTATGATGTCATTGAACGATATCCTATGCGAAGTAAGCCTCGTGGATTGGTTTTGATAATCACCAATATTGTTTATGAATCGTCTGATGAGAAACATAGATTTTCGGCAAAACATGACAAAGACAACTTGGAAAAACTATTTGAGGAGATGGGTTTTATAGTCGTTACTCATGGAAATCTAACAGGACAGGTACACAAGTATTTTAATTATATACATATAGCATATTCATTAGAAAATTATGTATATGAATATATTTTCCTTTTTATCAGGAAATGAAAGATAAGATTAAAGACTTTTCAAAAAGAGACGATCTGAGAAAGGTTGATTCCTGTTTTGTGATCGTTACAAGTCACGGTACGGAGGACGAAGATAGCAACACAGAGATCCAGGGTACTGATTATCATAGCGCAAGTAGGCAGCCAAATTATGAGAAAGTTCTTTGCACAGAAATCTTTGAGTATTTTACCACAGAAGCTTGTCCACAACTCGCGGAGAAACCAAAGATATTTATTTTCCAACTTTGTAGGTACGAGACTGTAATTTTCTACGGTTTTATATCTTGTTGATTTTGTCTCTTTATTTTTTACTTTTTGTTAAATACAAGATATAAGTTTTTTTTGTTTTACCTATTCTCCAGAGGAAAGAAAAGACAGAAAGGCGTAGCTCACAACAGAATCACTACAGATACCTGTGTATCTGTGAAGCCAACGGATGAACCCGGCCTAGAAATACCTCACTATCAAACAACAAGAAATTATTCAGATATGCTTGTAGTTCAATCTACTTTGCCCGGATATGTTTCTTACCGAGATTCCATAACTGGCAGTTGGTTTATACAAATTCTTTGTAAAATATTCATGAACCATGCTCATACGAATCACGTTCTTGATTTATTTAGTATGGTAAGTGTGAGATATTATTAAATCTAAAATAATGATGATAGTAGTATAAAAATGTACAATTATTGTGATTTGCAGATTGATATGGAGTTGAAACTTCTGAGAACAATGCACAACGAGTGTCAGACGTCGTCTGTACAGTCGTGGGGATTTAACAAACATTGTTATCTCAATCCCGGCCTTTTCATGGAATTATGATGAAAAAGAAAAAAGTATAATGCCTTATTGTACATGCGAGAATACGCAATATTTTTATGAATATTTCGATGCATTTAATTATCAGTGCCATTTTATATAAACGATATATAGTGCGTAGTGAAAAGCAGTCATGTGTGTTATTAATATATTATCGTAAAGTGAGTTCTTTTTCTCATATGTTACTCTGCCGTATAATAACGCATGAAGAAATTAAAGAAACAAACGAGAGACAATAAATGAATAAATGTGCAATGACATTTTTATTCTACAAATATGTTAAGTAAAAGTTGAGACTGAGGAAAAGCTTCGCAGTAAGGACATTAAACTACAGAATATAGAGTTTTGTATACTGTGAAAGGATGATAAACTTTAATCGTATAAATTTTTTATATCAACCATATCAGAGATGAGTCATGTCTCTTACCTGTTCTTCCATTCTTTAGTGTATGTAGTTATCTCGTTAAGAAACGTATACGGTATTTTTCACATTTGTCTATCTCAGAAAAAGGATATTTTATTTTTGCACCTTGCAAGCTTAGGACACAATTCATATCGAGCATCAGAGAATGCTACATCATGCACGTAATCTCGTGTTTGTCCTATACTTATGATTTATCGCGACAAAGCGTAAACATTTACAAAAAAGTGTACTATTTATAATTCACATGGTTTAATAGTTGGATTTATCCTAATCTCCTTACAGGTATAAATTACAAACGCAATATTCACTTGACTATACTAAATCCACTTTGACCACTTGTTTATATGCCGTTTATAAGTGCCCCAATTATATAATTGGCAAAATTACACGCAAGCGCGCTACACTAAATTTTATGACAAATCGATACAAAGAAATTATGTACGTGCAATATATATAATGCACAAATATGAAAACCTTACATACCACGATAAAATTTAAAGAATAAAATAAAAGCTTGAAAGAAACACGAGATTTCTACTGGTAAAAATCGAAAACTTGTTAGACTTTTGTCTCCTTAAAATCTAACCGAAAAATACTTCTAGTATATATTAGTGACAAAAGCAGCCAGTTGTATGAACTTAAATGTACGAATAAGTTAAGTATAATCTACATAATACAATTTTGTAGAGTTTAAGTGTAGCTATTGGTTTTTTTATTTATAGTGCCATAATTGGTAGAATAAATGATGGATTAATATCAAGGCAATTGAGTCGTGTCTATAGGATAAAAAGGGGGGAAGGGGAGCGGAGATGAATTTTACTTTATATTATTATATTTCCAATTTTATGTTTGCGTTGAATTACTCCGCATGTAGGTAAGTACAGCGCGTAAAACTATGCCTACTAGTACAAGGATTGCGCGTTGGAGGAACGTGGCCGTTTAATCTTTTCCAGATTCTTGATCACGAGATCGTGCAGCGAGCAATAACGATTGCGAACTTCGCACATGACGAGCCATAAGCTTACATACTCTTTCTCGTCTAGTTCTTGAATCGCTCTTCTATAATCGATGATGTGTGGGTATTTCGCAACTTTACTAACAATCTTTCCTCTAGAGATGAAATATCTGTAAAAATAAGGAATGACAATGAGACTTTTCCCGCGACTGTATTAAAACCAGCAATAGTGTACAAATATTAAGTGCATACACATAGATGGACATTTGTACATCGTTCATAATTGATAATCATCGCTTACCTGGAAATTTGATCAAAGAATGCAGCGGCTTCGCTCTCAACTGACTGAATTTCGGATAATGTATCTTCTTGAATGGATACACCAAAGTTATTCCCGTCCTCGATTTTTGGGATTAAAAAGGAGATCCACATTTTTAGCTAGAAAATTAAAAATAATGACAATTTCCGGAAACTAGAGTTTAATAGGCAAGAGATTGTGACAGTGACGAAAAAATTGAATTTGTCAAGTATATCTTTTCATAGAATCAAATAAAAATTTCTTAATTTTTGTTAATCAAGTTCCTTGCATGTATATTGTAATGCATCGCTATGAAAAATGATACTCACTAAATTGGAATCCTCCAAAAGTTGTCTAATGTAGGGTTTAACTATGTGAATCAAATCGCACAACTTTTTATTGCATGGTACAGGGCCACCTGGAAGTACCATAACTTTGGTTCCACTCGTCTCCTCCCCATTATTGTCCAATTTCTTCTTTTTTGCAGCAGGAGCCTCTTCGGAATGATTAAGAATGATGGGTTCTGGAATGGGTACATTTAAATCTTGATGTACATCCGACAGCTTTCGGTTGCAAAATCCAGGCGTCTCCAGTAATTCATTTAATTTAACTATTTTCTCTGGAAATCCTTTCACCAGCAACTCTTCTGCCTGCATAAGCACACATAAACAATAAATATATACTGTAATCTCTCATTTCATATACATACGAGTATGTATCTCAAGTGATGTTTTCTGTATATAAAATTGTAGACAATCAAAACAGAAAAGGTTACCTTGGTTTTAAGGGAATCCTTGTATTCTTGAACCTGCAAGATAAACTCAAAAATATATCACTTTGATAAGATGATTGTGCATAAATAACAAATATAAATTTTACAAACTTTTACTTGTTAAATGAATATTTATATATCACGTTATGTTGCAACAAAAACAAATAAATAGTATGCAAGTGTATCTGTAGTATTGATATCCAGTAGGCAATAAAGAATCGTGTTGTAAATCACGTTTATCATATCTGTATCTGTGGAAATGAGCTACCTCATTTTCCGTGTAACCACCTGGTAACACATTATTCGAGTCATTTCTTGGATTTAGAGTACTAGAGAATGTGGAAAACATTTACACGCAAGTTCAAGAGGTACAAGTTTGGAAGCTTTTAAGCAAGAATTTCTATAAATTTCAATTGGTGATTTTATACGACTTTATGCAATTTTAATAGGTTATGACAGATCATTCAGTTGTTTGTTGCATAAACGGAGACGAAAATAACTTCAAGCTTGTATTATTATAGATATAAAAAATAAAATATCCTTTTTGAAAGACTTATCTAATCATAGAACTTACAACAGTTACAACTAGTAACTGCAGAATATGCTTAAGTATGCCAAGTTTAAATAGATACTGTATTGCTTAATATTGTTTAAATAGATATCGTCTGCGAATTTATTTTATATGAGCAAACGTCAAATTTAATTTACAAAATTGAAGACATTTAGCTACGTGCAACATCAACTTTGATAGATTGTTACATCAGGCAGTTTTCTGTAAAGATTTATTACACAGTTTACATTTTTCATTTCCTACATATTTTCAAAGAGACTATAAATAAACTCTTGGTCGATGAAAGAGTGAAAGAGAAGAACCGATTACTTATAGAGTACTTGACAAATTTCACAAGTTGGTGCTCTGTCATGTATAGGAAATTGCTATGTAAATGACTATTGCGGAAATGTATGCAAACAATTAAGGGAAAAAAATATTAAGGCGTGACTAGCAACATCATTCCTCTCTTTTGCAGCGACGCAAGCGAGTTTGGAGAGTTTGTCGATGTAACAGGCGAGCAGCCAGCATGAGTCAGAGGCGACCTTCATCATTACTGAATCGAATCGCTCATACCTAACGCTACTTGTTAAACCGAGACCGCGAATACGCCATGGAGAGATGCGATTCTACGGGAATCGCTGGTACTTAATACCGCTGGGTCTCGTTTCGCACGAAAAACGTGGACGAAGCGAAGCCAAAATTCGCGACGAAAGGAGGTTAAAGGAGCGCGTACGTTTCCCAGTTTTTTCTCACGGTACTCTATATTCGCAGCAGGCGAGCACGCGCGGCGGATACGGGGACAGAGCCAAGCCGAGAGGGATCGGACGAGCGGGGACTCTTTCGCGACATAACTCGGAGCGTCGCGAGACTCGCGAGGCGGACGCGAGACAAGACGAGGCAGGACGCGCCGCGACGCGACGCGACGCGACGCGACCGTCGCTCGCTCGCGTAAATACCGGTGGCTTAACCTAAACGGTACGTCGTTGTTGCCGTGCCGCCCGAATCGGCCGGCCGTTCCCTCGTCCTACCGCTTCGGCGACGCGCCGGTCGACGATATAATCGGGATGATTTACCTTTCCTACCGTAGCATCCTCCATCATACTTTCCACAGGAAAAAATACTCTCTAAACCTAAGCACTGTGTGTCTCTTTGTTGAAACGTGCAACTTGAAACAGGAAGTCGCTGCCGTCGTGCTCCTCCGCGACTACGTCGTCAAACGAGAGTTCTCTATTCCTCGCGCAAATCTCCTTAGCCGCACTCTCGTCCTTGGCCGTACTTTCGCTGCTCTGCTTCTCTCGTGTCTAAAAATCAAGTGGAAAATATATCTCGTCCTTTCGACAGCGGGCGGAAGGCAGGAAAGAAAGGGGCAGGAGCTAAAATGCTGCCAGGCATCATAGGTGTGATGCACGCGCATGATCGCAGGCACGATCGATCTTTCAAACGTGAATCGCGCGAAAACACGTACCGATACGAAATCGATCGTGCAATGATTCAACGATTCTGATAGGGCCGGCTTGTCATTTTCTGGTTAACTGTCAACCAGAAAATAAAAAACCGACCATATCTGATAACAGTTACCTCTGGATCCAAGCGTTGGAAAGTCGTCAAACTCGAAAATTTTAATTAGATTTGGAAAGATCTTTTCAATTACCAAGGTAGAGGTTTCTCCGCAAAATGCGTACTCGATCACTTGTACAGGGCGACGAAAGAAATAAGTGTGCGAGCAATTCTTTTACTGCTTTTTATATTTGACGTTTTCGGTATTATTATGACATCTTTCTTCACTTCCTTGATTATTTACGAAAAATAATTTTAAAGACGCGGGATTAGGAGGGCCTCCTGATTAGATCTCAAGCGAATCGATTATTTCGTGTTTATCATAAAGTTTTTTAAACAATTTCTACAATTAATAAAAGCGATCCTATACGAACGTATTGGTAAATGAGCACTTGTTCGCGGCACTCGCGTGCCGTTCACGTTAATTACGAGAAAAATACAGTTAATCGACAGTATTTAATGAGAGTAACTAATTATGAATGGTTATAATAATTGCGATAGATTTTTTCTTGTATAAATACATATTAAACAGGGCTAGGTGAGTTTCTTGGCTTTCTGGTAAAGTGTATCGACGACTTTTCCCATGCTGTGTATCGTGTCTAATGCGATTTCGTAGGTCTTGTCGCGTGGCGTATCTTCGAAAACGATTAAAACGCCTTCTCCTTGGTCGAGAACCCCTCGCAGCTTCTTGTCCAAAATCATCTGCGACAGTTTCTTTTCTACTTGCGCCAATGGCAGAGATATGCACGAAGCAATATGACTCACCTGCGGAAAAACCCATGTGTAAGAAAGCAACTTTTCAAACTTATTTTCAATAATTCAATGTGCGAATAACCGATTTCTCCTAGAGTTTCATCTTGCCATTATTCATCATCGTTAAACATCGTGACACGTGTGCAATTTGAATTTTCATTCAAAAGCTAAACTTTTCAAGCCAAGTTCTAGCGCCAATTGTAAATTCTTGAATTTTCGATAAGCGACAAATCTGTGCGCACACATAATTACATCTTTTCTTTTATACACACACACACACACACACGTCCATCTTTATCGAGAGAAGAACTCAATTGGTCAATGAATTTAGAGCTGGAATCCATACCTGTACTCGTGAGTAAGGTTCGACTAAACGGCATAAATTCTGCTCCAACATAGCGTCATAGAGAGAACCAAGGTGTGCGCGTACAATTACGTCGTCTTCCAACTCCTGTCGGAATTGCTTGACCGCCTTTTGAAAATCCGCTAGCGATCGTCGATGACTGGCTTCGGCTACTGCACGCATCGCATCTAAATCCAGTCCCGCGTATTTCACCGCCAGTTTGCCGGACATGATGGTCTGAACATCCTCTGGCGTGCGCAACATGATTTTAGACAGTAACATATATTTGAGCGCCGTCAGCGCCTTGGGACTTTCAACACTGTCATACCTAAAAATAGAAAATAAAGATAGCACGTCTTTCGTAAAGGTCGACTACGCGGTTTAAGACCATGATCGCAATACCCTTCGAAAGCTTCGTAAAAGTAAGAGTAAGCAGTCTTGAAGTCTCGTTCATCCGCAGCGTGTAGTATTCCCGATTGAAGATCCAGAGCCGCTTGCATCTTAGGTGGACAGTAAATCGCGTTGGCAGTTGTCCTGGCGCTGGTAAGCGCCGCTCTTGCTTTCGCTAAATTACTCAACGCATGATATGTCTTGCTCTCTAATAATTGAACCTCTACTAAGAGCTGCTTGTCATCCAGCTTTTTGAGTTCTTTGAGGAGAGCGGATCCCAACTGCAACGCTTCGCTGAACATGCCAGTATCGAAGTAAAGGGCTATTAAGCGGGCTTCTAACGATTGCCTTAGAAACGTTCTGCGTTCCTCCTTTGCCCATTCTATGCATTCTTTGCACAACTGCACCTACATATATCACCTATATCAGTACATTCCATATTTTCTTTCTTACAAGTCTGCTTCATCATTTTTACAATCTTTGCGATATTTTTTAAGCAATAATTGGAGCTTTACAACTAGATTAGCTACAAAGTTAGCTGTTACAAGCCGAAAAGAATTTGACATGCATGTCTCGAGGTGACTCGTAACAGAGATGGATCGACAATGCAAAACTGTGCCACATAAATTTCTATACATTAGCCGTGCACAGTCTTGCGTCATGTTATTGTAATCAAGTCTAATTAACATTTTTAATCGGCGAAAGCAAAACTGTCATAGCATAACCTAATAGCACAAGCTTTCCTCCCGATCTGGTAGAGGAAGAAAGGCTATATTACCTCGATACCGATACCAGCCTCCAGATCCAGGAAGAAGTCAACCAAGGACCGCACGAGCTTGGCGGCCTTCGCTTTACTAATGAGACTGAGAAACGGCCTGGTGGCTTTGATCAACTCGGCCAGTTCTTTCGCCTTGCCCTCCTTCTTGTAGAGCTCGCCCAGGTGCAGAATACCCTGCTCCTTGACACGAATGTTGTCCTCGTCATCGTCGGCAACGCCGATACTCGGGTCCGAGACGATCTCGTTGAGCAACGAGATACCTTCGCTGCGGTTCGTCACCGAAACAGCCTGGGCCCGTTCAAACAACATCGCACCGGCCATCTCGAGCGATTGGCGCCGCTTCCTCGCGTGGAAAGCCTAATCTCCTCTTCCGCGCACTTGGCTCGCCGACGAGGCTGCAAGGGAAAAGGAATATGTCGCGAGTCACGAGCGAAACGTTGCAAGTCAGCGAGGACTCGCGATCCCCCGCGTGCACCGTGCCTAGTGCGGTCTACGTTGCGCGCGGCTGCGATCTCACGCTCCAGCGATCTCACACACTCTCGCGTGCGCGAATACGTCTATTCGCTCTCGGCTCTCCGCTCGCGTTTGCCAGCTTGTCACTCCTCACCGCGCTCGTCAGATCCCCGAGACCGCAAAACTCGTGTCATGCTGCTACGTGAGTCAAGCCAACTACCGTTTAACCTTAGATCACCGAGTATAGTCAGTGCCGTCACTCGTGTCGAATCTCTCACCTCCCGCCATCTCGCATCGCCCCGCGTCGCCGCGTCATCGCGCCATTGCGCCCCGCCAAGTTCAAATAGCAAAAACGACATCTATGTAGGTGCAAACTCACGGATATGTAGATACCTCTTTCGACTGCTACGGCACGCCTGCTTCAATAGCAAATTCAATCAAAGTACGCAACATTTTACAAAACGTTATCCACACTATTGTTTACAATGAATAGAAATTTCATTTTATTGCAATAATCGAAACCTTTCCCGACAGAAAGAAAATAACTTGGACGTAACCGTACAAAGATACAAAATAGATTTAATTCAATAACCGAACAACTTCTGTTTAAATCTTGACAGCACATCACGCAACACTGTTCCGTTTAATAAACTGTTGAAAGACGTCTCCATCTAACCGCTTTCATTGCACGACAACGAAAGTGAAGCATTCTTCAGCATCAATACTTGCAAATTGCACAACACTTGTTCCAATCTAAAAAATAAATACAGATACATATGTAATATGACGTACGTTAATTCAAAATAATCATTTTTGCGACATACTTCTTCTGGAGATCTTTTATCTCGTCGTATGTTTCAGCAAACTTCTTTAATCCAGCATTAATCGTACAATACGTTTCGCCTTTCGACCCAATTACATCTGTGATGTTCTTTAAAGCGTTGCAACATTTTATCAATATCTCTCGAGTCTCTTCCCATTCGGCCTGCGTTTCAGGAAGTATTATCCCATTACATCGCAATACGTCCAGAGGCTCCAAGAGAGATTGCAACTTGGATGACATATCTTTTACAATCTTCAATGTTTCGTTATCTGTGAAAATACAAATGTAAAGAACAAATAGTGCCTAATACAATTTTCATTTAAGCTCAAATCTCTTACTGGTGCATTGTGTAACTGCGATCAATTGGGCATCTGCCTCTTTTTGCGCTAAACTTAAATTTATCATATCGCGTTCCCTAGTTTTAACTTTGACCAATTTTTGGGTATCTCGATCAATCTCTTGTGCCACAGTGGCTAATTGTGTGACCAACAAACGCTTTTTCTCTTCAGTCTTCTTCTTCATTATGAGATCTGTCATTATAGCTTGTAAATATTCGTCATAAAGAAGTCCAAGTTCTAGATCTTTGCATTCGGCCTCTGTTTTCTTTTGCGTGTCCATTGTCAACTGCGATGGTGTAATTGACTGCTTGCCTACAGCTATCTTCTTTCTTGGCACTTCTACGAGTCACGTAACATAATATTAAGAGTATACAATAGTGAATGAAGCAACCGATGAAACTCGGTACAGAAAAACACATTCTGATACAACTCTTACTATGTGATTGCGCAAAGTCATTTGGCATCATGGTTGCTCTACTTCGAGAAGGCATTCTTGAAGTATTCATAGTATCTGACAAGCTTCCTACAATCTCCGGTATACTTGTATTGCAAACTCTACGAAAACGTACGTTAATTGTGCATATATAAGTTTCACACCATGCAATTTTTCACCTGACTCAAATATATACATAAATCCTACAACAGAAATTTTACCTTCGAATATTTCTTGATCTGACAATGTCTCTTTGCTCGTCTTGCATTGTTCGTTGCTCTATCAAGTACCTGACTTGAATCTTTCTCTTACTGTGCTCGTTGTGAGTCCTGAAATTATATTGTAATTGAAATTGACCGTTCAAGATGACAACGGTGCTTTGAGATCGAGAAACAGCAAGGTCAAATAACACTGCAAGACAAAGCAATGATAACGAAACGAGAAGTGGTATTGTGATGATTTTCCAGAAAGGATAAATCAAGATGATCAGCGAGAGACAAAGGATTTTGAGATGTCCAAGTTGACTGAGAATCTGTAGAATCTTTCCAAGAAAATCTTCGGGACATCTACCAATTGACTCATCATCGAAAACCCCTCCTTAATTTATTAGTAAAACAATACAAATGGAACATAATTGATTTCAATTGAGCCAGTTAGTGGAGACAAATTAATACAGAAAATATGCAACGGTCAAACAAGGAAACGCGCTGGATCCTTGTACGATATCAAAATTAATCGACAGAAACACAATTTCAAATTTCTTAATTCATACATACACAAGTCTTCCTCCTCTTATTACTATTGGCACTCGGCTGCTCATCAACCACTGACAATGAGCCGACACGGCCACGGTTGCCGCTCCCTTGCGGCGAAAAGTTAAGGAAGGAGAGCGGTCGATTTAAAAGCCGCCAGGAGGAGACGGCAGAGTTTAGGCTTAAGATGTTCGGAGGATCAGAAGGAGAATCAAGCAAGTCGGATTTGATCAAACTAATGAGATTTTTTATGTGGGTTTTCAAGGTAGGACAAGCGAAAATAACGTGATTGAGGTCTTGACGCTCTGCACCGCACACACACATACATACATAAGTCACGATATATGAATATCTAGATGCGACGCGACACAAAGGCAGACCGGAAGTGCTCAGTTTCAGAACAGTCAAGACAACTGGTGGCATTGAATCGCGTCCTCCATTTTTCTTGTAATTTATTAGGTGAAGAAAAAAACATGTAATATATCGATAAATATGTTAAATATAATGTATTTTAAATATCAATATTTACAAAAATTTGAAAAAAAATTTGGGGCGGTTTTAAAATAAATAGGTCCCACCGAGATTTGAACTCGGATCGCTGGATTCAGAGTCCAGAGTGCTAACCATTACACCATGGGACCTTGCTTCATAGAGCTCTTTGTACTTGCTATTGTACCAAATCTAACAATATACGTCCAAAAAATCAATATTTCACTCTTATAATTAAAGTGTGTTTTCCATTAGACGTATTTTTTATCAAGAACCTTTAGTCTTTGAATAATTGTATGACTTTATGTCACATAACAGTTTTTATACAACTTAATAAAATTGTGCATGTTACAATTTTAACAAAGGTATTAACAAAAACGTATACAAATTAGTTGACACCATTTATACGCTTTATTTATTCGTGACACTTATTTATAATTTACGTATCTTTATAAAATAGCCATTATGTATAAACATCTTAGACATATATTACAAACAAATCTGTCTAGCTGAAGTAGCGAGCTAAGCTGACTTGTTCTCTCTCTCTTCGATTTGTGTATCTAAATTTTTATTATTTATTTCGTTATACTTTCCTTCTGCTTCTGCACTTGATGTATTTGACGGAACTGTACTCGAGTCATCTTCATGACTCTCTTCATTTGCCGACTCTTCTGCTTCTTCCTTCGGAATTATCTAAGAATATTTTTAACTCAATGATAACAACTTTAAGTAAATAAAATATTTGGGTAAATCTCATAAAAATAGTCTCACCTTATTCCTTGTACTATTGCATATTTCGAGAAGATTGTACTTTTTAAATTTATAGTAATTGGGAGCGATAGAGAGTAAACAAATGCCACGTATCACTTCAACAATCACAGCTATGTCTGGATTTTTTAAGTCTGCCTTATTACCTGGATTTTTTTTCATTATAATTTCTGCCAAGTCCTCAATAATTTCATTTCTTTTAATGCTGTTATTGCTGCGACGGCTGGAACGTTATTAATTGAACAAGTAAGGTAGGAGGATTACCAAGTTTGGCATGGAATTAGACAAAATACTATCTATTAACTTACTTAAACACAATGCTGAACGTTTTAGGCTCCTGGGCAAAATACCTCTCAAACAATTCACTCGCTTTTGCCTTTATAGTGTCCATGTATGCTTTGCATACAACTTCAATTGGAAGTAATCTCAACAAGTATCTGGTACATTGCTCTTTGGTCGTGTCCAACTTGGAGACAATTTTGGTAACCAATTCTAATGGATTTGGGAGTGTACTTGCTATAAAAATCATATTTTTTACACCTGTGTCCACTACCTGTGCAAAACAACGATATCGATTAATGCAATTTTGTTAACGCAACAATTATGCCAACAGTTAAGCCAACAATTATGACAGAAAAATACCTGAAATCTTCGAGAAGGCAATGGCATCTCACGTTCCGTTCTGAGTTCATTGATTTCTTTCTCTAGAGCAGTCGATATGTCCTCATCATCGTCAGCATCCTCCAATGATTTATCAGCTTTCTTTTCAACGGCTGTGTTTGTCGCGCTTGATGTTTCAGATTTCTTAAAATAATAAAAAGCAAACATACCTCGTATACTTCTCTCTGCACTTGGTACGACACATATTTAATTGCAATTATTTATATACCATATTTATGTCTGACGCAGATTTCTCATCTGCAAATAAATTGAGTAAGTTGTAGGCATCGGTAATACAGCCTCTCTCGTGAAAGTTGCACGTGCATAGAAAACCCGTCATCCCGGATTCCAAGACAAATTGTTTACGCTTTTTAGAGTCGTGGCGATTCGCGACATATCTGTTACTTCTCTTTCGTGTATTCATTGCACCGTTTGTCTGCATTCATTTATTAACTTTTTCTTTTCCTTATCTTTCGATTTCTGTTCCTATTCTCTTTTTGAATTGAACAACATGTGCTAATTATTTCTTTCGTACCGATCGGAGATCTCCGATAGTATAAAGAACATAGACGTAAGAATAATAAAGATTGAAACTGTGTCCGATTTCCAATGGAGTTTCATCGGCTAGAGACATAAATGCAGAGAAGGTAGCTACAATTCCCTAGGAAGCATCTCTTCTATTGGATGTTGCGATATCATGTCAACATTAAAAGTTTGAATATATTATGCGTACCAAGATTATACAAAAAAATGAAATTTCTAATTTGCATTTTTTAATTTTCATGTATTACATATAAACTTTGTATAGCGAGGCTGAATAAATCTTACATATATTCGTGTTACATACAGGAATACACCAAAAATACGGAAAATTCATTACACACGATACAATTACGATGATTCTTTTTAGACATAATATATTTCAGATACATGCATTAATACTTAATGAAATTTACACTTTCTTACTTCAGATATATTTTACGCGCTATATATGGCCAAGTAATATTAATAAAGTCTAAAATATATTTATCGATCTATTATGTCTACTTGAAGAAATATATTATGAGTTTTACTAAAAAATTTATATAACTACGAACTTAACGTTAAATATCCTCATAAAAATTATTCATTTATGTTATAATTTTAACCGGAGAAAAACTTTTCAGGGATAACGTTAGAATACTCCGTAGTATAGGAACATGAAAATTAAAATAATGTTCATACACTAAGAAAAGGGTGTATCTTTAATTATACTGCATATTTATCTAACATTTATCATTCTAAGTTGTATAAAAACTGAGTTTTACATAAAGGTACATATATATGTATATATATATAATGACGAAAAATAAGATTAGTTTTGTTTCGAACAAAAATTTTAGACGTACTATGTGTTGTATATTACCTAAAATTCAAGCATTTTTGTGCAATGCAAAATATATGTATATGTATATAATATATGAAGTATAGCTCTAATAAATTATATGTAATATTGTATGAGAGCATATGTTGTTTTAAACACACACATAGCTATTTAGAGAGAAGTATATTATCAACAATGCATATAGACAGTAACAGAGTAATGTGAATATTTGAATGATAATTGTCGTGCCTTTAGAATTATAGCAAACTTTGAATGTTATCATTTTACAATAAATGTTAATAATTAATTAGTACAATGTACTATGTATATACAATGTACTAAAATACTTATTGTTATGTTTGCAATGCTGTTACTACGTCTTGTCGACTGCGTTTTCGCTATATCGCATATTCAGTAGTGAGAAGTAAAATCGGAAAATTATAAAGAATTTAAAAACTCGTATGCAAGTTTATACAACAGAATAGATGTAGCAGTTAAAATCTACCGATATTGGAGAAGGCAGCAAATAACGGCGCTCCAGTTGTTGCTGCAGGTGATGGTTGTTGGTCGCCAATGTTTTTCAATAAATTACCTTGCAAGAGACTGTCGAGAGCTTTCTGAACTGTTGGATCATTTAAGAGAGGTGAAGGTGAAACTCCTGTAGAGGAGGTTGTCGTGGATGACGTGACCGCGTTCGATGCTATTGACATAATACAATAATACACATGTATTACAGTTTTACAAACTACACAAGTACTACAAGCACAATCACGTATAAAGGAATTGTCCCAAGTTTATTTCCGTTATGCCAAGCAAAACACCGTATTCGATATTGAAATTTAATTGCAGAATACTGCAAATTAATATAATATTAATTTGATTAAGAGCGTGTAATTGAAACCGTTCTCGTCAACGCCACTGTACGATTTGTATTTTTTACCTGATCCCCAATTAGCTGGCGGTACCGGGGTTGGTGCTGAAGTCGGTGGTGGTACCGGGCTGGGTTCTACCGCTGTCGATGCGCTTTTACTGTTATTTAAAATATTCAATATTCTCGTTTGTAATTCGGCCTGTTTCGGATCGTTGACTGCCGTGAGCGGTGTTTTGACAGGCAAATCTTTTGCATCGCCCAATTCAACTTGTACTTGTTCCTCGCGTTTAATCTCGAGGTACTTAATGACGCGATCGTACTGCAGAACTGTCAGCTGATGATTGTCAGCCAGCATGTTAAGGAGAACTTGTATAGCATCCGGATGACGCTCATTCGCAAGAGGTGTATTCAAGGGAACCGAGCGCCCACCAGCTTTGTAATTGGCGAAATCTCGCGAAATCAAATTTATAGCGTCTTCGACTGGCATGTTTCTGTGTTCTACAACGTAACAATATAATGCCAATTAATTAACAACATATTGATAAATTGACGCGCAAGTCTACTAAATTTGAATAATTATTGAAACTCTACCTTGTGGCAAACCATGTAAAATATTCAGTGTTAAGGAATGGTGCTCGTGGTTGATGGGTGTAACGACTACAGCATAGAGACAGCCACGACTCGCTATATTTCCCAAAACACGACCTAAAGGAACATCTTCATTTGGAAATAGCAAGTCTACCATTAAACCGATTTGTTTCAAGCGCAATTCGATATCTTCTGCATATTTCCTGCACATTTAACATAAATATGTGTTATACAACTCTAACTCGGTGAAGCTGTAACATTATAAGAATCGACGTCTTACGTTAACGCCTTATTAACGACAATAATTTCGCAGTCGTTCTTCTCAGCTGCGATGGCAAGATAATCAGTCGAGCCACTGGTATTTCTGTAAGGTAAACAGATGAGGTCTGTGCGAATTATCACTAAAAAGCTCGTGAGAAAAGCTCCTCTTTTGGAATCGCCATCGTTTACACAAAATGAAGCTTATCAACTATTACAAAAATGATGATATTTTACCCAAAGTTGGCATTTGCCTCTCTAGTTGCAGAAGGCTTGAAATCATCGTACCGATTCCCACTGTCGTTGAAGGAATCTCTGACAAAATTGTTGTTACGCAGTCTATCTCCTTGTTTGAGATCCCAGTCTCTATTTGTCTTATCTTCCATCCGGTTATTCCTATTAATTGGACTTCGATCTCTGAAAGTATTTATGTTCGGATTGTTGGAATTGTTCTGATTATTCTTATTTCTATTCTTTCCCCCTCTCGTCCCCCGTGTTCTGTGGACGCCACCGCAAAGGCCCATCGCTCCACCAGTGGCATTTTGGTTTTGATTGTTGCCTGGATTAGCTTGATTTCGATTTCCTGCATTTCCCCCGGGCCTATTCTGATTTCCCATTTGGTTGTTATTCCCAAATTGATTGTTGGTGGCTCTGTTTTGATTGCCGTGACCGGTAACAAACTGTTCGTTTCCACGATTTGGATTATTCATATTAAACTGATTATTTCCACGATTTTGCGCGGGATTATTAAAATGATCGTTTCCGTTATTATTATGTTTCCCATTAAATTGATCATTATCATTACTCCCAACCTGATTTCCATCGTCATGGCTATTTCCGCCGCTCCTAGCTTGAATGTTCAAGTCTTTTTGGTTGTTGCCAAAGGTGTTGTCGTTGCCAAAGCTCTGATTCATCCCACCGGGATAATTTGGCTTATTCACACCAAACGATTCATTTGCATTACTCAATTGGCTACCCATAGAATTAAATTGATTATTTATTCCACCCATTTGTTTTGCATTTGGATTCCCCGCATTTCCACCACCGCCAGATTGATTGTCTTTCTTCGCTGGTCTGACATCTATAAATTAGAATTTGACAAGATAAACAACTGGTCGTTGAACAAGAAGATCCTTGATTAAGCAAACCAAGGAATTATACTAGCTGCACTTTGTCTAATATACCTATACGTCTGCCTTTGAACATTGCACCATTTTCATTCTGAATAGCTTTCTGCGCAGACTGATCATTTTCAAACTGTACAAATCCAAAGCCTCTGTTTATCGTTGATGCTATAACAGTGCCATATTTGGCGAAATGCTCCTCCAGCTCCAGCTTTGTAACATCGTCGGTTTGTAAATGGCCTACAAATATACGGCTGGACGCGGTAGCGGGATCTTTTAAAAGTCTGATGCTCATCCTGATTCAGATCACACCAAAAGGGACTGTCGTTAGTCGCTCAATCAACGTGTAATATTACATAAATGTGTCGTGGCCAATGCAACGCCTCGGTCTACCATTATTAAACTAATGTTTACGTGAGTTGTCAACATTCGTTCAATTTCTATAAAAAGTCAGCGCGACGAGAAATTATCTACCGCTACTGAAACTTACTTCGGATAGTCTCCGCGCGAAACTCAATCACCATAAGATTTCCCTTCGTCGGCCACTATTTGTATATTATGGAAAATATCGTTGCGAGTCGCGATTCACAACAGAGACATTTTGCCGAAATCGGCGCTACCAACTCTCCCAGCTCCCAGCCGACAAACAAGTCGACAAACAAAAGAAACTTAGTTATCTAGGGACACCAGTAGAGACCACCAGAGGTGTCTTCCCCGCGTCGGTCATTCGTCCGCGTACGTTTGCTTGTCCAGAATGCTTTGGCCACCGGGGCGCCACCGCGTATGTACATACTCCACATCAATTATTTCTCACTTTGTACCGGGTCTTATATGACCGTGAAATTTTTTTGTTTTTTCGAACGCAGCGCAGCTGAGAGACCGAGGTTCGCCGATTGATCCAAAGTCTCGTCCCTACCGTCAGCGGTCATATGATTGATCGACGCGCGTTCGCCACTCCTCAATCTTCCCGTGTGCTATGTAAATAGCATCCGGTGTGTCCCACCTGATAAATCCCAATTTGAATTTCAGTCGCCACCACAGAATGGGTAACAGGTCGAGTCTTCTTTTACGCGAGGACGAGATAGCGCAGATACAGAATGCTACTGGTTGCAAGTATCCATATTGTTCCTTCCATGCGAGTCAATTTTCCATTTGCTTCGCCAACCACGTCGACTGCTCCAGGAGCAGCTCAATAACGTCAACACCTCGTTACAGTCACGCCGAATCAGATCGAACGTTTGTACAGCCGCTTTACCAGCTTGGATCGCGGGGATTGCGGGACCCTCAGTCGAGAAGATTTTCTCAGGATTCCAGAATTGGCGATAAATCCTCTTGGCGAAAGGATAGTAAACGCTTTCTTCGAAGAAAGCGGCAACGATCGGGTCAATTTCCTGCAGTTTATGCAGGTCCTCGCCCACTTCAGGCCTATCAAGAAGAACAGTCCCAATCGATTGAATTCTAGGCAGCAAAAGCTCAGATGTAAATGTCGCCGAGTATAAAGCACCATACGACAATTTCTTGCGAGATTTATTGTTGAATATTTCTTTCAGTCGCATTTAAAATGTACGATTTGGATAACGACGATCTGATATCAAAAGATGAACTACTCGCAATTTTGCATATGATGGTTGGTGCCAACATCAGGTAAGAATACGACATCCTCTCATCTATTTCTTATAAGGAGAAACATTTAACGTGAATTTAACAATTTAGTAAACACATGTTTATTTTAGTGAAGAACAGCTGACCAGCATCGCGGAACGGACCATAGTCGAGGCTGACGAAAATGGTGATGGTATGATATCGTTTGAAGAATTTTGCAAGGCACTAGAACGCTCGGATGTCGAGCAGAAAATGTCGATAAGATTTCTCAGTTAAATTGATTACTGATTTATATAAAATATAATATCGAACCTATAAGTAGGCATTAGGCAATTGAGTTACAGATATCCACGTGTAAGTACATCACATATAATTAGTAACCGAGGGAAGGTATCTGCGATTGCAAGGGTGATACAAAATAATATATGTATAATATAAATCTTGGGTTTTTACGCAAAAATTATGGGTTGATCAACTGTAAATGAATGTAAATATGAATTCGAATGCGTGTGTACATATACACAAGTGTACAGATACTTGCGAGGGAATGGAATCAACTCTAATTTTGATTCAATTGCTTCTTGTATGCAAAACGTGAAATAATATATTTTAGGAGAATTAAAAGAATACTCGTGTTATTACTTATCTCCTTTGAAAGCCTCTCTCCTAAAGTTTTGACGATTACTCATTATTGAAAGTTACGTCGGGAAGAATATATATATTTAAAACAGCATTTTTATTTTTATCAGACTGATTTTTTTGGTATCAATATATTGTAGACGGCTATCGAGTTTACAAGTCGTACATGGAATTGCTGTAATATTTTTAATGTACAGATATTATACATAATTACATAATAATAATAACATTTGTATAGCAATGAGTAATATCGGTACATTAACGCACATCAGCAGCAGAGAAATCTTCAAGAACGCTTCACGTTCTTCAATCATCTATGTTGACTCGCATTAAAATAACACTCGATGATCGCGCTCTACGCTGAGAAGGATGAGAGGAAATCTGTAACTATTTTCTTCAGTTTTGCATCTGATGCTTCGCTAATTGAATTTTCTTTCGCGATCGTAGCAAGAAGATCTTGTTGAGTTGACCTGAAAAAAAAATTGAAGTACGTGTTACAATGAAACGTACAGCATAGAAATTGCATCTAACGTATACCTGATGTGTGCGAGGAATTCTGTTTCAAAGCTAGTGATCTTTGTCGGATCCATTTTGTCAAGATAACCACGTACACCGCAATATATGACTGCTACCTGTTCCTCAATAGCCATAGGTACTAAAACGAGAAACATGTGAAACACAACGTTGAAATCGATTCATATCGGCACAAGAATTACGACAATACCGTATTGTCCCTGTTTGAGAAGTTCCGTCAACCTCACGCCACGATTCAACAATTGCTGGGTAGCGGCATCTAAATCCGAACCGAACTGAGCGAAGGCCGCTACTTCACGATATTGAGCCAATTCCAACTTCATAGAACCGGCAACCTAGGCAATCGAGTACCATAAATATATTTGTAGTTTACATACACATATAAACCTTGTGCTAATTAAATATATGAGAAAATTGACGATACCTGCTTCATGGCCTTGGTTTGAGCGGCAGAGCCGACACGCGATACAGACAAACCGACGTTGATAGCAGGTCGGATACCCTTGTAGAACAATTCGGTTTCCAAAAAGATTTGACCGTCGGTAATAGAAATAACATTGGTAGGGATATAAGCAGACACGTCACCAGCTTGCGTTTCGATAACAGGCAAAGCGGTCAACGAGCCACCACCTAAATTTTCGTTCATTTTGGCAGCTCTTTCAAGCAAACGAGAATGAAGATAGAATACATCTCCAGGGTAGGCCTCACGACCCGGCGGTCTTCTAAGCAGCAAAGACATTTGCCGATAGGCAACAGCTTGCTTGGACAAATCGTCGTAGATGATTAAAGCATGTTTCCCATTATCTCTGTAAAATAAACCCTATGTGAGTTTGCCTTAGAGAATAGAAATGTACAAATAACAAGTTTTAAAACTAAATCTTTCAGAGAGGAGATTTGGGCAAGGGATTTACAGCTCATTGGAAGATATTTACCTGAAGAATTCTCCCATGGCACATCCCGAGTATGGGGACAAGTACTGAAGCGGGGCTGCATCGGAGGCAGTGGCAGATACAATGATAGTGTAGCCGATAGCACCGCTGTCCGTTAAGCGCTTTACAATCTGCGCAACGGTAGATCTCTTTTGGCCAATAGCGACGTAAATGCAATACAATTTCTTTTTCTCCTCTCCGCCGTCGTTGAAACGCTTCTGATTGATAATAGTATCAATGGCAAGAGCGGTTTTTCCAGTTTGCCTGTCTCCAATGATCAATTCACGTTGACCACGACCAATAGGCACCAAGGAATCCACAGCTTTGATTCCAGTCTGCATAGGTTCTCTCACCGACACTCTGTTGTCCAAAAGAAAATTATGTAACGCTATGTACGTGCCGAATATACAATTGAATTCAAAGAGAGGTGTTGGTTTGCTCAGAGATGGAATATAAAATTTACCTCGGGATAATGCCTGGAGCTTTCGTTCCAATTCGGAATCTTAATTTGTTGTTGAGAGGCCCTTTACCATCGATGGGATTACCCAGAGCGTCGACGACGCGACCCAACAATTGTTCGCCAACAGGAACGTCGACGATGGCGCCAGTACGTTTGACAATGTCGCCCTCCTTAATGTGTCTGTCATTACCAAATACGACAACACCCACGTTGTCAGGTTCCAAGTTCAACGCCATACCCTTCAAGCCCGAACTGAATTCTACCATCTCGTCGGCCTGAATGTTCTTCAAGCCGTACACACGCGCGATACCATCTCCAATGCTGAGCACTCTGCCAGTCTCTTCGAGATTAGCCTAAAATGTATGCATTCTCTTTACAAGTATTTCTCAGCTTGCGAAAATACACATATTAAACAAGTAAATGGTAATCTACTCCCGACAAGATTGGCCTACCTTTGGTGCCGCCCCAAGGATACGTTCTTCCAAGATAGCAGAAACCTCTGCCGAGCGGCGGCTACAGGAGACATGATATTTACGGGAGGCTATGGCAGTAGCAGGCCAATTGATCTGAAATACGGCAAAAGTACACACATATTACATAACTTGCTGCTCTAACGCACTTTACATAATACACTATACATATATCAACATCACTAGCTGCATCGCACAAATATTAATCGGTCTGTGAATGAGAATGCTCGCTCCGAGTCTTGTCTACAGTGATCGCGCCGTCGAAGAGGAGAAATGAGATAAAACCGGAGCGCGGCGCCGCTCTGACAAAGTGGAAAATGTCGACATGTTACGCGAAGGCGCGCGACACACTCGCGACGACAGTCGCGAGCGTGTTCAACGGCAGCAAAAAGAGATCCCTCCTATTTACCTGGGCCGTGGTATTCGGCAGGTGCCTGACCAGGGACGAGGCGAAACGTAGGGATAAGAGCGCCATTTTCCAGGCTGCGAATTAACGTGAGGACGTGAAAGCGACCGGCCGACTCGAGATAGGCAGGTAGCGAAGATCGGAAGAACGTCCGAACCCACCACCCCTGTCCGTCCCCCGCCCAAGGCTCTATCATGCGCAGGAAGTCGACGGCCATCGATTCGCCGTCGCATCTGTTTCGCAACAACCGCGCGCGTCCGTAAGACTTTTCGGCGCCTCGTCATACAAATTTACCCATTTGCACGACGTAACTGTGAAAACTGTTATTTTTCCCGTGCACCTCGACGCTCATTCTCCCCGAAATTGCTCGACGAAAGGCGAGTTTCCCGCACGCTCTTGCGCAGTGCGCGTTACCGCAGTACGAGGCGGGAAATTCGAAATGCGCCTTTGCAAGCGACTCAATTGCGAGTAAAACAACAAATTTCTACGTTAACGTGGAGAAATAAATACGTAGTAGAGAGATTTCCCGTTCATCCGATTACAACAGGAGCGAGTGTTCTTTTCTCTTTCGCGAACGCTGTTCGATTGTACGCTTAAATACACGGAATATTACGTTGCGAATACGTCGGAGAGACTAAAGGCTTCGTCGTAAAAAAAACAAAGACAAAAACAAAAAGTAATCTTGTCGCGTGAGATATCGCGGGTGTTTCTGATAAAAAAAATATGATTGCGCGTGTGCGCGTGGCGTCGCGGTGGTGGTCGGAGGGGTGCGAGCCGCACAGAAGCGTCTCGGACTCACGGAAGACGGAAGCAGTGCAACTACGGAGGATGCGTCATTGCACCGGCGCTAAGCGCCGAGCGCTCGGTTACGGTCATTTCGTCTCGCGTCGATTCGCCGTATCGATTATCCTCGTTTACCGCGTGTGACCGCGGGTCTCTCTCTCTCTCTCGAAAACAAACGCACAATAAGAGAGCAAGGGCGAGGGTCTCGTCTACCAAGGGGAGAGAGAGCCTCGTAGACGCGTCAAGCAATCGATGTTGGCGCCCGTCAGAATTACACGTTTCTCCGTTCCGTCTCGCTCGCGAAAATGAGACTCCGGATCTAGCAAATTGCACTTGTAATTCTAACCGAGTAACAATTAACTGCCTACTGCTGTGATTGTAAGATGAATTACTTATGACGAGGGAATTGCCGTAAAGATGCATATACACTTGGTATTAGAGTCGATACGTCTATGTGCGCGCGTACAGCTCTGACATACATGTAATTTTAGTGTATGCAAGACTGTCTGTTTGTGAAATTTCTCTATCGTATATCTACAAGTTGAGAGCGGTGTCCAGCGAGTGAGACAATATGGACTCTGCAACCGAGCTGGAGCATATTGAGAAGCTGGCGAAGGAAGCGGAATGCTTAAAGATACGCTTGGAGGACGAGCGACAAAAGTTGAACGATATTACACGTAAATGCATAAGCGATTCTTTACTTGTCGCTGCGCACTCCTTTATATTCTATTCTTCACACTCGACTTATTTTCTCCTTCAGTTGCCAGCGTAGCCGACAGACTTGAAGCAATTAATTGTATAAATGTGAAACCTAGACGCATTCTAAAAGGGCATCAAGCAAAAGTTTTATGCTCCGACTGGTCCCCCGATAAGCGTCATATCGTTTCTTCTTCACAGGTAGGTCTGCTCTTGCTAAGCGTTTCGTCTCACGCGTTACACACAATATCAAGTCTTTGCTCTTAGGATGGAAGAATGATCATATGGGATGCCTTTACTACGAATAAAGAACATGCCGTCAGTATGCCGACCAGATGGGTGATGGCGTGTGCTTATGGCCCTAGCGGCACCTTAGTTGCATGCGGGTACATATTAATCGTGTCGTTTATCGCAATATTGCCAGAGACCACTGTTTGATATAAATGTTGTAGAGGCCTGGATAATAAAGTGACAGTGTATCCGTTAAGTCTGGAGGATGATGTCTCGGCTCACAAGAAGACCGTCGGTACGCATACCTCGTACATGTCGTGCTGCGCCTTTCCCAACAGCGATCAGCAGATCCTCACTGGCAGCGGAGACAGCACGTGTGGCTTGTGGGACGTAGAGAGCGGCCAATTGTTGCAGAGTTTTCAAGGACACTCTAGCGACGTCATGTCCATCGATCTGGCACCGAGTGAAACTGGAAACACATTTGTATCTGGTGGCTGTGACAAACTAGTCTTGATTTGGGATATGCGCAGTGGGCAGTGCGTGCAAAGTTTCGAAGGACATCAATCCGATGTTAATTCAGTACGTAACATCTAATTTATCTACTCTTCCATAATATATATGGATATATAGAAAATTTCATGCGGTATATTATTATATTCTCGTGTGATGCACACAGGTAAGGTTTCATCCAGGCGGTGATGCGGTAGCAACAGGTTCGGACGATGCCACTTGTCGTTTGTTCGATCTGCGTGCCGATAGAGAAGTCGCGGTGTACGCGAAAGAAAGTATAATATTTGGAGCAAACGCGGTCGATCTCAGCATAAGCGGACGTTTGCTCTTCGCCGGATATAACGATTACACAGTGAATGTGTGGGATACTTTAAAGTGCCAACGAGTGGCATTGTTATATGGGCATGAGAACCGAGTCTCGTGTCTAAGAGTTTCTCCAGACGGTACTGCCCTGTCTACCGGAAGCTGGGACGCGACTTTACGAGTTTGGGCTTAGCTTCATTACCATTACTCTCTTAAACCTGTTGAGATATTCTTGTTAGGCTGCACATATAGATATTTATTATTTCATTCTATTTTTTTACAAATTCTCGCCTTCTCTCCAACACTTTTTGTATCTTATTCATCTTTTCATAATACCAAATGTATGCATTCAATTGTTGTGCATTCAATAGCAAGCGTGCTTTGTCATGCAAAATGTAATCTGTAATATGTAACGTAACAGTAATGTGATATAACATTAATAAAGTTGCATATATATATATGCATATATACATATATTAGGCTGGACCTAATTTACAGACAAATTTTAGTGAATATATATAATAGCAAAGCCACAATATGTATGCCACAAAAAATAAAGTTTCATAAATCCAAACGCTATACTTAAATGTTTAATGTACTCTTAGTTTTGTATCAATTTTTTTTAAGAGTAGAGCATGATAATATAAATATACGTTAGTACGTAAACATGTGTTTAGAAGAGCAAGATTGAAAAAAAGAGATGCAGTATTAATTAAAAGTACATTTTTTACACACAATATGGTAATACTGGGGAATAACGCGCCCTTACGCGTTGACCAATCAGCCACTTGCTTTTCCGGAATAACAGAACCAGCCGACATGTAATTGGCTACTATACGTTCCGAGTGCAAAAACTAATAATTTGTCCAAAGGAGAAATTTTTATAATTATTAACTATTTAAAGCGTACGATTTTCTATTATATATATGTATATCAGCATTATATCGTTCCCTGTCTGTCATTGAATTTTCTTCTTACTTGGGCTGCGTTCGGGGAGACGCTATTAGCGCTGAAAACGTCAGTCTATCTTCGTCACTCACTGTACGTCGAACAAAGATAGAAGACGCTTTTAGCGCTGAAAGCGCGCTCCCCGAACGCACCTTTGGAGTACTGTTCCGAAGTGTAACATGTAACGGAGATTTAAAGAACAGACTTAAGATTTCGAACAGCTGGCCATCTATCCATTGTTGTGGCGAATTTCAGTAAATTCTTTGTGGCGATGGTGACACATGTTTGATGCACGTTAGGGCCGCGAACCTGACTTTGCACTTTGCATTTACTTAATTGTCGTGAAAAAAAGGGAATCTTGCATAAATTCAATACCTCATAGGTATAACGTGTTGACGAGTTGCAGTTACGAGGAATAATCATGCCTCAGTACACAAGTATGTATTTGGCCATCTCTTAGTGTCGCTAACCTAAAAGTTCACAGCCAATGATCGTATTATATAGCTTTTATAATAGTTTACATATGTTCATATTAGAAATAAATAATCTAATATAATTCTAAAAATTACTGTAGGGAATATAATGAGAAATACGTGTAGCTGCTTGGCGAAACGATCTAACGAATCCTGGTCCTTAATTTATACAATTTACTCCCCCCTTAACGCGTAACTTAAACTCAAGTTTAGAATAATATGCGTGCCAATGTTATTTTGTTTACACAAAATGTTATTTATTTGCATTGTTTTGTCAGCTGAAACTTTTCATAAATTTTTTAATGAAAGATTACAAAATTACATTCCAGCTTTGTAATTTATTTGACTTGTTCAACTTCTTTTATCCTCTCTTTACTCATGAATAATGAATATGTTTCAGTTAAAGTTAAATGGGGCAAAGAGCTCTTTTCTAATGTGGAAGTCAACACCGAAGAAGATCCAATATTATTTAAGGCGCAGCTCTTTGCGCTGACTGGAGTTCAACCAGAAAGGCAAAAAGTTATGCTCAAAGGAATGACGCTCAAAGATGACGATTGGGGCAATCTGAAGCTTAAAGATGTAATGATATATAAATAACTGTTTGAGCTAGCTCAGCTAGCTGTAATGTTTAAAAGATTCGTAATTGACTGTTGATTGTATCAGGGTGTCACGATACTTATGATGGGTTCCAAAGAGGAGGATGTACCTACGGAACCAATAGAAAAGCCAGTGTTCTTGGAAGATATGAATGAAGCTGAATTGGCTAGCGCTTTAGATTTACCATCCGGTTTGCTTAATCTTGGCAACACGTGTTATCTAAATGCAACGGTACAATGCTTAAAGACTGTACCAGAGTTACGAGATGCCCTGAAAATTTTCTCGGGAGGTTGGACGACCGGTGCAAGTTTATCGATAACTGCACAAAGTATAACCGCATCGTTAAGGGACCTCTATGACAACATGGATAAGGGGACAGCTAGAGCACCACTCGTTTTGCTTCAAATGCTACATTTAGCCTTTCCAAGATTTGCAGAAAAAACCGAGCAGGGTGTATTCCAGCAACAAGATGCGAATGAATGTTGGACGGAATTAATTAGGATGTTGCAACAAAAGTTACCCCCAAAGGTTACTAAATCAATTATCAATTATTTGTATTACAACTTTCAACTTTAAACATCTATTGTGTGTGTGTGTAATTTTATTCAATCATTATTAAAAGCATTGTATGTTTACAGAACAATCCAGATGTGCCAGAAGATAGTAGCACAGCCTGTAAACCAAGATCGTTTATTGAACAATACTTTGGAGGTATATTTGATTATGAATTGAAGTGCACCGAGTCCGAGGATGAACCAGCCACCACTGGAAAAGAAGAATTCTTACAATTGAGTTGTTTTATTTCGACTGATGTCAAGCATATGTATTTTGGGCTTAGGAACAAAATGCAAGAGCAAATTACGAAAATGTCTCCGACGCTCGGAAGAAACGCCACTTACACAAAAACGGTAAGTTTTTGTATTGTAAATTTTATTGCGCTTACATCTTAAAATGCACTCTTTGCTTTTTTTTCACAGTCAAAAATTAGCAGGCTACCTGCGTATTTAACCATACAGTTCGTACGGTTTTATTACAAGGAGAAAGAAGCGATCAACGCAAAAATCTTGAAAGACGTTAAATTCCCCATGGAATTTGATGCTTTTGAGTTGTGCAGTTCCGAACTTCAGAACAAACTTATACCAATGCGTGAGAAATTCAAAGAATACGAGGATACTCTGGTAGAGGAATCTTGCAATGCAAAAACCAAGGATATGGGCGATAGCGCACAGAAAGAAACGAGGAAGGAACCATTTTGGTTTAAGGATGGTAAGAGAAGGATTTCTCCATGTAATTATCCATTCGAGACGTTCAATGCATTCAACTCGATGTGTTACGCCTATTACAGATTTGGGATCAAATAATAGTGGCTATTACAAGTTACAAGCGGTTCTAACGCATCGAGGGCGTTCGAGCAGCAGCGGCCATTATGTCGGTTGGATTCGACAGAAGGGCGATACGTGGATGAAGTGCGACGACGATGTTGTTACGGCCGTTACCAGTGAAGAAGTTTTAAAACTCAGCGGAGGTGGTGACTGGCATTGCGCATACGTTCTTTTGTATGGCCCTAGAATTTTGGAAGTGGAAGTGAAGGATACAAAAGACAATCCAGTTAGTGCAAACAGCACTGAAGCTTAACTGATAAATAACTGCTTTAAATTATGCTAGACAAGAAATTGCTTGGGTTACTAGCTCTATACAGATATTTGTTCTTGTACCAATTAATATAGCAACGTCATTAAAACATTATTATTATTACTATTATCATCACGTGCTACAATACATGTAGTATTTGGAATAATAATTTCGTCATATCAAATATGAAAAACGACATTATTAATATCTTATTACCTACAATAATTTTCTTTAAATAAATATGAGACAAGGACAAAGGTTAATTGGTTACAGATTAATCGTCAATTTCCATTGTTCATAAAGTAAATGATGAGTGACAATGTGTTCTCGACAGAAATACATGTAACACAAAGTAAAATTTTTTTCTACAATATATTTATGTGCTTGAATTTTATATTCAAAGAGTGAGTTACGAAGAGACGGTCAGTATTTTTAAAAACGGACTTGCTCGCTCTTATTGCGGTCTCGCTCGCTCCCGTTACGAAAAATCAATAACACTCTCCTCCGATATTTCATGCATGCAGCACGGAATACAACCAAAATTGGGCACTGCATTACCCGCTTGAAAAATGGGCGTAGCACGGACACGCACCAAGTGGAGACTTTATCGGCAGTACTTGAAAATAGTTCCAAAAATGAAAATGGGCGTAAAGCGCTGGAATCAGTCGAGCGTGGCCGCTCTCAGGTTTCTCTCTGATGCGTTGTAGAACGCGTTCTACACTGAATAGTTTGGTTTTAATTGTCCCTAGACATCGGAACCCCTAGTATTTTGGTCCGAGTTGTGCGCATGTGCGAGTTTTACTTGTCATTCAGGGTTTCAGGTGACGAACTGTCATCAACCGTCTTTGTCAAATCTGATATGAAATAATGTTTTGTTAAAGTTCAATTAAGTGTTTATATGCACTTGTACAAGTACAATGATACAATTTCCTCATTAATTTTCCTTATCGTGCTTACCAGCAGTTTATTATGTATTGATTGTTGTGTTGTAATATATGTATTGTTTATTCATACAACGATGGAAAAGGAGAGGTATGTGGAATGATAACAAGTTTTTAACGGATAAAAATTTATTAGAAAAATGCTTTTCAACTATTTAATTCAAAGTTGTGTAATTTGTATTTTTATATGGGAAAAGTGGACTGAGAATAGAAATTGTAAAATTTTCTTATACATTAAATGTTTTTTATCTTTTAACGTAATTGTTTAGGTTAGAATTTCTACGAAGGCATAACACGAATATAAATAATAATAAGTTGTGCCAAATCTGTATATAAATGTATACGGTTTGATAAATATTCCGAGTACTTTTACATGCTTAGAATATTACGTACACTTCCAAGATTTCTTAACCTTAAAACATATCATTTATACCTGTTTGAATTGAAAGTGTTTTTAAATCTGCCAAGAAAATATTTAAAATCTTTTGTTTCTTTTATAATGTTGAGTATTAAAATTGTGGACATTCCTGTTTCATGTCAAAAGAGAAATCAAACGGATATATTTTGATGGAAATGTAAGATAAGAGAAATATTTCAAACATTTATTTACAGATTTACAATGCTTTTGCTGGAACCAGGAGAAATATTTTTTGAAGATTATAGCGTTCAGATGAGAAAACTAGAGGCTTCACTTTCCAAAGATGAAAAGTGGATGGATGGCAGATTGAAATTATGCTCGAAATCTTTAGTATTTGTAAATAAAGATATTAATCAGCCACTAATTAAGATTCAACTCAAAGAAACTACATTGATCGAGCAATGCACATTGAACAACGATATAGTAAGGTGACCATATTTAGGATACAACTATGAATATTACAACAGACTAGGGAACCTGCGTCAAGTAGAATAACAGACAGATTAACTTTCGCTTAATTCTTGTATATCTTGACAGTTGTTTATTCGTTTGTGCATTTGAATTTGTTACAGTAATACACTGTCGATAGAGTGTAAGCAACATGTGGAAATGCTGGAGAAAAATATATTAGCGCCATACAGATTTATACATCAGAATACTGTGTTCCACTTCTGTTTTAACTATGCAAAAGTGGAAGATTGCCTTTCGCAGATCCTGCAGCTGCACAGAGCAGCGAGTTTAGTAACCGTAGAGCAAAATGCTATGGTAATATTCTCTTATTCGTTAAATATTTCCAGAAAATTATAAACATTAAAGTCAAGTCTCTAATTTTTCAGATTATGGCCATTGTACACTCTAGACAGTCGCGTGTATCTTTTGATACATCGTGGCTTGAAGATCTATATGAACAGGTGGTCTTGGAGACCCAAGCGAATAAAGTATTGCCACTTGTAATAAATCCAGGCAGGGTATTATTGACCAACTTGAGAATCTACTTTCAACCTTATAATAATATGGATCAGGTTATTATTTTAGAGTTTTCCGTTACGTCACAAGCCGAATTTTTGTACAACTTGAAGAGAGAAAGTGCCATTAATTATAGCATTGTTTGATCTTTTAGCATCCTGTCCTTAAGATTCAACTGAAAGATATACGAAATGTTATAAAAAGGAGGTTCTTACTGCGACAAGTGGTAAATATTTCATAATCTAACCGTACAACATATTCCATTTCAATAAAATTTCATTATAGAGAGAAGCCGCATTAATAATCCGTTTGCAGGGTCTTGAAATTAAATGGACGCGACAAACCGACAGCAAGAGCGAACATTTATTTTTATCGTTTCAAAATCAAGATGGCAGAGACAAGCTGTATGAAAATTTACTTCAACAATCGGCGGTTTCTCTTGAGACTGTACCACAGAATCAAATGACAATGAGATGGCAAAATGGATATTTATCAAATTATGATTATATTTTATATGTAAATAGGTAATTATTAAGACTCAAAAATTAATTAAAGTTACAGAAAAAACAAAGTGGAATTGTTTCAGTTTGGCGGATAGAACTTTTCACGATTTGACACAGTATCCAGTGTTGCCTTGGATTATACAAGATTATACTTCTACGACATTAGATTTAAATAATATCAATGTTTATAGAGATCTTTCGAAACCTATTGGCGCATTAAATCCTACTCGTCTAGAGAAATTGAAAGTATGTACATTAGATTTCTATTAAATATTCATAACATACAACATCGCTCAATGCTCTTCAAGTAGTTTTTTTAATTAAAATCTATTCTAGTAAGTATATTTTTATATTTAATAATTTTTTGGCACCGTTGTAAAAAAAATTAATATCTTTCATACATCTGTATTGCAGGAACGATATTCAGAAATGTCTGAACCCAAGTTTTTGTATGGTTCTCATTACAGTGCACCAGGTTTTGTACTGTTTTACTTGGTACGGAAATATCCTCAGTACATGCTCTGTCTTCAAAATGGAAGATTTGATCATCCAGATAGAATGTTCAACAGGTATATACATATTTACTTTTTCCTCCTTAACTCTTCAAAGATATTTATTTGTTTCAAAATATTAACAAATTGCAATAGCAATGCACGTTTATGCGCGCATAAAGAAAAAAAAAGTTATTATGTTGGAAAAACTATAATTTAAGGAAAATGGATTACACATTTGTTTCGTAACAAAATGCAAAAGTAATAAGAAATGCTTCAAATATTGTAAAAGTACATAATTACTCTGTCAAATGTGCAGAAACGATTTTATATTATACTTTTACGAACAAAAACACCTAACAGTATAGCCGACGTGTGGAAAAATGTTTTGGTGAACATGTCTGACTTTAAAGAACTGATACCGGAGTTTTATGACACGAGCAATGGTGGTGACTTTCTAGTGAATAATTACGGTATCGATTTTGGCTATCGGCACGATGGTACAAAAATAGGCGATGTACAGCTACCTTCCTGGGCAAAAGGTAACGGGAGACGTTTAATTTTACGCATTCTTAGTCGCTCACGCTAATGAATAATCATTGCTGCTCATATGATGAATTTTTTATTTTATTTGAAAACCCTTATTCGCTTGTTAGTATTCTTGTAGTATTTCTCGTGGCAAACAGTAATAAAGTCAATCATTCTACATTATTTATTTTCTGTATTATGTATCATTATAATTATATAATACTATAAATGTATTAATATTTCAGATAGAAAATTAATATGCTTCAAATATGTTTCAGGACCAGCTGATTTTGTACAGCAATTGAGAAATGCCTTGGAAAGCGATTACGTTTCTCAAAATCTTCATCATTGGATTGACTTAATTTTCGGATATAAACAAAGAGGAGTTGAAGCGGATAAGGCTGAGAACGGTAAGAGTTGAACTGTTGTATCTTTTTATGGTACATACGATAAAAATAATGGAAATTAAAATTACTCAAAACATTATTAACGTATGTGTTACGGTTTAGTGTATTTCTGTTTTCATTGCAGTATTCTTCCACTTGTGTTATGAAGGAGCAGTAGATTTAGATACTATACGAGATATAAATGACAGACATGGACTCGAGGTGCAAATTATGGAATTTGGTCAGATACCGAAACAAGTCTTCACCCTACCTCATCCGAAACGTTTGACATCAGCTCCAGATTTATTATATAGCGAAACCACACTATTGAATACTTTGTCAGAATCAATAACTTCAGGTATTGTGTCTTGGACTTTTTTTCTTATTCGTACAGCTGCACATACACACATAGACACACACATATATACATATATGTGTGTGTGCTGCAAAATGTAGCTTATTAAATACCTTAATTTTTAATTTCTAGGTAATGCATGTGTAAAGGAAAAATCCATTACTTTTACCGAATTAGTAGTGTTTCAAGCACATAAAGACAGCGTCACCAGTATTGTGCGAAAAAATACACTGGGTAATGAAATTATATCAGTGGGACAAGATGGAACGCTTAAATTGTACAACATAAGTGAGAAGAAACTGACACGTAGTGTTACTTTGTCCCCGTTGTCATTGTCATCTTGTATCTCGTATTATACACTATCGCAACGTAACATTCTTGTAGCAGGATCGTGGGATAATACCTTGTAAATATGACAGTGATTAGATTCTCTACACAATTACAATAAGAATATAAGTTTTTTTTTATATATAGTTTATGCATTTTTGTGAATTTTTTCAGACAAAATACGCAATATGTGAATCTTGTGATACACATTTAAAATTATATCTTCTATACCTATACGAAATAATTCCATACAGTTTTGCAAATTTTAAGCATCCCGTATTCTTTTTTAAGGATATTTTATGACATCGAATTTGGCAGAGTAATTGATGTCCTGCAAGGACACGAAGATGCTGTGTCGTGTTTAGCATGGAGCTCTACTCATCGAGTGATTATATCTGGATCGTGGGATTGCACTGCAAAAGTTTGGCACGAGTACACTTCTGGATCAAAAATTAAACCTGCGGAATGCTTTATCGCGCAATTAGATCATGACTCTAAAGTAACTTGTATTAACATATCGAGGTAAGATATCATTTTTATATGTTGTTGCAACGTTACAAATACTTGGTAAAATTAAAACTATACCTTCTAAATAACAAATTACTTTCCGCTAATAATATGTACGATATCTTTATTTCTGTTGCGTATAAGTTGAATAAATTCTTATAGAGACGACAATATATTGGTATCTGGTACAGAAGATGGCGAATTGTGTTTATGGAGCATGAGTAATTATAATTTACAATCTACGATTAAAGGTAAGTATTCTTTTCTTTATCTTCTAGCTATCCTTAAAACTGTAAAAAATAGCCATGTTAAACAGTTATGGTATGCACATGAACAAAAAGCTGCAACCAGATAATCGTTTGTAGGCTTTAATTATAAATCGAAATAATTGTTGTTTATTAATATCCAATTGCCGTTTGTTTTCTAAAGGTCACACCGGCAGAGTAAATGCAATAACGTTCGATAAACAATGCAGTAGCATAGTATCGTGTGCAGAAGATAAAGTATTAAATATAACCGATATTCACACAAGTACACAAATATATTCCGTCAATTTAGAAAGCGAGCCGTTGACATTAACATGGATGGGAACGTTTTTACTAATAGGTGATAACGATGGAAATCTTAATATATGGAATCATCAGGGAGCTGTATTCATTCCGCAAATACATTGTCACGATGGTAAATTTGTTATTACTATATTACCACTATAGCATGGCATATTTTCCTAAAATTATCTGTTATTTATAGTAAAAAAAAGTTTCAATATATTATGAATTTATTTTATATTAACTATATTTTCTTTTCATATTTTATAATAGAATCTATATATATATATACAATAAATTAATTATTGACAATTATAACATAAATCTTTTCAGGACCGCTTTGCGCCTTAGCTGTAGTCGTTGATAGCAATTTGATGATAACAGGCGGAAAAGACAGAAAAGTCATTGTATGGGAATGTCATAATCACTGATACAGTATTACAAATGATCACTATCAATGTATAAGAAAACTTTTATGTAAATAGAATGCAGGCCTAACATAATATTTTTAATTGTTTGTTATATAGAATAGGCTACTAAAATCTGTATATATCTAAGCTATAAAATCTGTATAGAATAACATAAAATAACACAAAGTGATCTGAAAAAAATATTGAAAGATTGAGAAACATTGCATTTATAAACAGAAAATATCCGTAATAGTAATACTATATGCTGACGAATTCTTCGATTCTTTTTTAAATTATCCCATATTAGATTCTTAACACATATATCACAAAGTTCTAAATTGTTGAAATATGTCTAATTTAAATATCCAAGAGAAACATAAAAAAAATTCCTCTTTTTAAACTATACATTTTGTAACTTTTGAGATTCCCTTTTTTTTCTTCTGCATAAAGTTATATTTGTGTTCTTTATACAAATATAAACTTCTTGTATATTGAATGTAAAAATATACAATTGAATATAGTAGATTTATAATATTTCTTTGATGAAATACAAATTTTTACACTATTATTAAAAAAATTTAATGTAATTTATACAATATATATATATGTATATATATATGTATAGTGATATGTAATGTTACATTCCACTTTCTCTTTACGGAATATTTATCAACCATGTCATCTTAGTCTTCCTATCTTAAATAAAATTTTTTATTTGTTATAAGCTATTGTAATATCATTGTGTTTAGTACAGAATCAACTTTTTGTTAAATGGATATTACTTTAAATTAAGAGTAATAAATATTAATTATACACAGAAAAATTTGTATACGCGTGTGTGTGCGCGCGCGCGCGACACATACGCATGTACACACAGATTAATATATATTTCAGATTTTAAGAAATTAAAATAGAGAAAGTTACATTTATATGCACATCATTTTGTATAATTATTGCGTAATCAAAAAATAAATTTTAATTCAATTACAACATTTATAAAATACACTAATTAATATTTTAAATAGAATTAAGAGTGCTCAAATTGACTATTTTGTATTATACAGTATCTATATCATTGACAAAATGAATAGATGGATGTTGAGCTCACACTATCTTAGGTTAATTTTTATCTCTCAAACTGACTAGCGTGTATGCCAGAAACATGACAATAAATGCTATATAAAAATACTGAAGTAAAATAATTCATTATACTCAAGTAGATAATGACTAGTATTTTACAAAACATTGCGACAAGTCAAACAGAAACCTTAAACACACTTTTGTTTCTATTATACATATGATATTTTAACACTTAGTAGAATGTTCATTATTGATTCTCATAACAAGAATGTTCTGTGTAGAATCGAATTCATGTGTAAAAATTTCGAAATAATTGAAATAACATATACATATGTAACAATGCGAATGAATGTGTAACAATTGTAATTGTGTATCGAATGTGTAACTCTGTGAAAACTTTATTAACTAAACAAATTTGTGGAAGCTTGTACTTTAGGAAGCTCGTAAACTTTTCTCGTTACTTTCTTTTCCATATATCTATTTCTACAATTACATTAACTCGGAAAAGTGCTGTGTCTAATTTGTTTCTGTATTTCAAGTACTTATTTTATATCGCATTAAGGTAACTATTTAACAGTCATTTTCACAATCAACTGAGTTGTATACAACTGAGATTATTTGATAGTAATGTTAAATATACTTGTGTTTATGTTGAAATGTATTTCAGACCTTATCGTGGTGAAGAATTTGAAGATTTGACATAATGACAAACGATGCATCACAACTGTTTTAATTGCTCATAAGTAATAAAAAATATAATATTCCACGGTCCCATTCTGAACCATGTCGGGATAAAACCTTTATACAGTGCCAGAATTCCTTCATTTCTAATCGTCTACATGGAAAAAAAATTGTGTGTCACACATATGTATGTCATTTTAAAAAACACCAAGGCATGGAAAATATCTTGAATAAATAAAACTTAATACCTGGACCAAGCAATCTATACTGCCACTGTAAATATATGACGAAAGCTTCTTGCCACCAACGTGCACTCTCCTTTGATTCATCAATCGGGTCTGAAAACAAGATATTAAAAAGAATATTTATTACGTTGTACAAGGATAAAATATTATTATACTTACGCGAATAACATCTATAGGCGTTGAAGCTATGGCACTCCCCATACTAGCTACAAAACTAGATCTAAAAAAATCAAAATCACAATTAAATATATTTTCTCTGTAATATACTCAAGAGTTATAGCTTAATTAGTTACGGGAAATTACATAAAAAATATTCTCTGATTATATAAATGTTTTATTATTAATTCTTTTGATAATATTCCATTTGTTCAAAAATTTTTAACTGCAATACCAAATTTTACATTATAAAGCAAAATTAACCCTTATCCAGGCGTTATAGTAAGTTAAGAATGCATAGTACCATGTCTGTGCGATGGTGGTCAATATTTTAATAGAGCAGAAGTACGTTTCCAAACACGAACAGAAATTAAAGCATAGGCAAAATGGGATTCTTTTATAGTAGAAGAATTAGGAAGTTATGTGGTGGACAATTAGTATCTTAGAAATTCCCAAAGCCTAAAATGCATAAACGCTAATCAAAAGATCTTTGCAAGGTAGTTTAATATGTATAATCATCTGGACGATTGTCTTAACGATTCTTGAACTTAAACACAGAGTGCTGAACACAGCTTCCGTGTCAAGCCTCTCTGGTCATCTCAAAATCCGTCTATCGCATGTGCCCATACGCATGACAATGTCAAAGGACCTGGAAATAAAATTTCAATTTTAGGAGAGTTTTACTCCTTTCCTGCGGTAATGTGCAACATATGGAATAATTTGAAAATCGCACATTCTTTACAAATCACTAAAATGATATTAAACTGTCGGTTTCTATATTAAAAGAAAGAGATTTTATGTTAAACATCATGTTTTAATAAAAGTGTCTTGACATTGGTGCAAGCTGCTAATCAATTTAATTACTGTTCCGTTTCAAGTGTATTTTAACCACCTTGCTTAATGAATACTGCTAATTTGAAAGATTATTGACAAAATTAACATTTTATATTGTCAAAAGCAATTCATGATAAATTAAATATGTTACATTTAAATATTTCTATATACATATATGCGCTATAAACAAACATATGTGCGGTACGTAAAACACACCTCTACTTAAGCTTTACAAATCGCTCTAACATTATTTTAAGCGAACCGATTAATATAATACACAAAAAAATGTTTAAAATTTAGTCGTTAATATATATATATATAATGTTAGAAAACAGATCGATTACAACGAAAGAAATCTTGTTTACCTTTGAGATAAATTATTTCTAAATAAATCGACAAAACTTGACACTCAACAAAAAAAAATACACGATTGATACATACTCTGTGCGACATATGTTTTAAGGATTAAAAATGAAATACTATTAAGATTCTTTTACATAAACGTCCAAAATCTCTTCTTTCCAAGTGCCTTCTTATTTCCAATATTTCCTTACTTTTTATATTTTATAAATACTGCACATAATAATAAGGATTTTCTTAGATACAAATTTACATTAATCTCTTGCATCACAAACTGTATTAAAAAAAATACCCTATATGGATTTATTCTATTTTCATGTGCAATATATTATCTTATTGTTAGATGTAATAATTATATGTAACTGATTAGAGGATGTATTTTTACACATTTACAGTTGATAATTATTAATCCTGTCTCAAGTTTCAAAGATAAAATTATAGATATCTTTTGTATTGTAAATTGAGACAATACGCTTTGTTAGAAGAAATATGTTATTAGAGCTGTCCGGATAAGGGTTAATCGATAACTGATTTATAATGCAATAAATAGCAAGTACATTAATAAATTTGAGTTTAACTTAAATATAATATATCGGTAGTAAATTTTCCGTTTCTGTAAATAACACAAATTTAAAAATCCACCATGATAATTGGTAAATATATCTTAAATATTTTATGTAGATGTTATATCCACACTGTGATGAAAAAAACTTACACAAAATGATTACTAACACTATTTCCCAACACACTCATACATTTACTCTTGGTATAGTCATATATAGGCAACTCGACAGCCGCAATAACGGCCGCTCGTTGAGCAGTTGGCCCAACACCCTGCGTAAAAAAAGTCAATCTTTATTTCTAATACACGGAACATTCAATTAATAATAAAACCGATTAGTTGTGGACCTTTGGTATCGATTTAATACGAAGAAAGAAATTTGTATATTTCCAGTATCTACAAAATTTGATTTTTATCTGAATATTCATGACTTGTAAAATACGCGTGCGTAAATGTGGTAGTTAATAAAAGAAATTATTTATATTACCCTCCAAAGCCCGCGAACACCTTCGTGCTTGTATACATCGTGAAAGCAAGTAAACAGCGACACATTTGTTTCACCGCCAGTGACTTGCATACGAACTTTTACTAAATCAGTAGGATTGGCAATTGCGCTCGATATAGCTCCAGCTAATGCTGCGCAAACAATATTTATCGTGACTAAATCTCCTGTTGCCCATGTATCAATCGCAGCTTTCTTCAGTGAATAGTAAGTGCCAAACTTTATAGTTCCATATGTCGCTTGTCGTAAGATGGCGGAACTGATTCTAATAGACGATAAAAAAATTACCTCATTAACAAAACCGGTAATGTCAAGATTTGAAAAGTACCGTTACCTCCAGCAATAACAGTGATACTAATATGAAAATGTTTAGCTTCAGAGACAAAACGTCTTTCCAATATCTCTATATTCGAGAATGAGATATTCTCTTGACTATCATATTTATAAAATATATCACACTTACCCGGAATATAAACCTTTGATTCCTTCTTGTTTGGATATTTGTAATAAAGCATCAGTCATGCCAGAGTATCTTAAACGTGCAAGCTTTTGATCGTACTTCTGGCCTTGTACTTGCAATCGTGTTTTTGTCGTGTCTAAGGGAAAAGTACCTAGAATAAAAGAAATGGAAATTACTTTTTCTTATACAGTTTACATGTATGCATCCTATGTATTTTAATATACCAAAATTATTAGAGGAGAGACCTGTATTATGAGGTAAGCTACTAATATAAGATAGCGAATATGACCTTATTACTCTCGGAGTTAAAGCTAGTTAGTGAAAAATTCATTGTTTGATCGTGCGTGTAGTTGTTATAAAAAAAGGCGTCAAGTTCTACCGAGGTGAGTTTTTAAAGCTTGTGTGTTGTGTACAATAAATTCTGCGTGCAGTGATTTTTCTAATTTGCAAAAAAATGCTAATTGAATTTTACATTTCAGCATCTTAAAGCTTATTATAATTTTTAATTGTGTCTATAGATTTCCAACAGTTGGAAAAAAATGAATTGGGTATCTCGTGCACGGGAGACTCTCCTCTACTCTTTTATTTACTTACACAGCTCTGCAACGATAGAAGCTAAACCTCCGTACACGAAAGGTCTCCAATCTCTCCAATTTCTCTCTCCCATCACCAACTTTGATCTATTAAAAGTCAAAGCGATATCAATATAATAGGCTTAACTTACTAATAACGAAGGTAAAATCGACAAGTCATAGAAAATGGACGTTAATCGACATTAATTGAAAAATATATTTTACTTGTTCCTCTCTTTCTCTTTCTTCTCATATACCTATATAAATATGTACGTTTAAGTAAATTCTTTACGGAGAGATCGAAACATGTTAAACACGCGTATATTTTTAGGTTAGTTTTAATTTTACACTACTTAATTTTACGACACGATACGTCATCCACTGAGAGAACGTGTTTTCTAGGGAGTTGCATTAAGGATATTTTGGTTTCTAGGAAATTAATCCTCCTATTGGCAGAGAGAACTTTCTGGTCATATTGAACATGATTGGAGCAGAGAAATATGTAGAGTTTTGGAACGCAATAACGGAACGCTTCCGTTTGCTTCGAGTCTCGGGAATCGGGAAATGCACTCGTGAATTCCTCATGTCTCTTTCGTCAGATAACAATTGTGATTGATGTACAACTTGTACAACTAGTTGGATATATTTTTCTATCTGTCGTGAATATTTTCTAAAGGAGAGCCATTGATCTGTCAGTAATTTTCAAGTAGAAATTCATTATGGCAGCCGGTCCAATTGCCGAACGTAACCAAGGTATGATTTGCTCGAGGTTCAAGTGTCATAACGTTTTGTATCACTGAGTATCTAAAGGATTGCTTGACATTTAATGTAAAAATTTATAGATGCAACAATATACGTTGGAGGTTTGGATGACAAAGTCACGGAATCTCTTATGTGGGAATTATTTGTTCAATCAGGCCCTGTTGGTAAGTATTGCTCATTTTTATACATATGCTATGCAGTATATGACATAGATTTAACTAGATCTAGTTGAAGATACAAGTATGTATACATGTAAAATTGTTTCAGTCAACGTACACATGCCGAAAGATAGAGTAACTCAAATGCATCAAGGATATGGTTTCGTTGAGTTTATGGGAGAGGAAGATGCAGATTATGCTATTAAAATCATGAATATGATTAAACTGTATGGCAAACCTATTCGTGTAAACAAGGCTAGCGCACACCAAAAGAACTTGGACGTTGGAGCAAATATATTTATAGGAAATCTCGATCCAGAAGTAGATGAAAAATTATTATACGACACATTCAGTGCATTTGGCGTGATTTTGCAAACACCAAAGGTACGTAGAATTTGTTGTGTCGCAATAGATAATTTGAATAGACTATTTTCTCTGAAAAATTAATACAATGAAATAATTTGGACCGCACAGATAATGAGGGATCCCGAGACAGGTAACTCCAAGGGCTTCGCTTTCATTAATTTTGCCTCTTTCGATGCCTCGGATGCCAGTATCGAAGCGATGAACGGTCAGTATTTATGTAACCGGCCGATCTCAGTGTCTTATGCTTTCAAGCGCGACGCCAAGGGCGAGAGGCACGGCAGTGCCGCCGAAAGACTCTTGGCTGCGCAGAATCCTCTGAGTCAAGCGGACAGGCCGCATCAGTTATTCGCGGATGCGCCACCTCTGGCGCCGCCACCGATGCCAAATTCCAACGCAAACGCCCACCCAGCCGTGCATCATCCTCAGCATCACGTGATGCATCATGGAATGGTGGTGCCACCGCCGCCGCCGCCATCTACTCCTGGACCGCCAATGGGCCATCCACCTCCGCCGCCCGTACCACCGCCACCGTCCGGAGGATTCCCACCGGCGAACATCCCTCCGCCTCCTCTGCCACCGATGTCTATGGCAGCGCATCCTCCTCTACCACCCGGTATGCCACCGCCGTTGCCGCCTATGCCCGTACCGGGTTCTCAGGCGCAGTCAGCCGCCTCCAGGATGATGGCGCCACCACCACCGCCGCACTGGGCCGTCGGGGCACCGCCGCAGGGACAATTCCCACCGCCTCCGCCGCCGTCCAGCCAAGGCCCCCCGCAATTTGGCCAGTATCAGCCCTCGCCTCCAAGACCACCTCCGACTTGGCGGCATCCGCCGCCGCCGCCTATTTCACAGGGTGGCCCGCCGCCACCGCCGCCGCCTCAATTCCGACCACCCTTCCCGCCAAGAGGACCGCCGCCGCCGCCGCCACCCCACGACATCAATCAATATTAATTTACTTTTAATAACAGCACTTTCCTATTTATATCTAGTGTGTAAATGAGTCGATAACCAACCATTCTTATTTGTTTTATAATCGACAAGTACATATATTATTATTCGATCGTATGTACGATACATTGGGAGAAAACTCTTGATTGCTCCCAAGTAAACTTGTTCAAACTATAGCGACTAAATATATAACAAGAGAATCGAGTAATTAACTGAATCAGCATTATTAATGAGGAAGTCTGCAATGCCGCTGGGTTAACGTGCCAATTATATTACAACCGCGCGCGCGTTTCGCTTTATCGTATCGATCGACTTTGGCGTCTGAACAGGTACGTACGTACCGCCGTGCCATACCATTTGTTCTATCGATTATTTCGTGCCTGTCCAGTCCAGTCAACGATAACGTTAGTCGAACATCAAGTCTACTGTCACACGCCCTTAAAAGCTACTGCGTTTCGCGTGATTCGTAAGATTGAACGAGTGACTGTTATTTCTAGGACGAATTCTTAAGAAAGTTGCGTCGCAATGTCAATTTCCTAATTGTAAGTAAGAACGGTTGTTGACGAGAGAGAATTGGTGCGTCTCGCGTCCCAATAAATTGAATCAATCTAAATTTTAGACCATTCTCGATCGCGACACAACTTATCGATCTGTTGTCGCTGGCATCCGCCAGCTTGCCGAACACAATTGGAACACGGTCGGACGTTTTTGTTACGGACACACGAGCGGTCGCCGATAGAGCGATAAATTTTTTATCACCTTGCATGCTACGGCAGGGAAAACCGTGCGAATGTCGCAAGGTAGATATGGCACGGGTCTTTTATAAGCGAAGAAACGACTTGGACGTTGAAAACGACGAGCATCGTCCGCGTCGCAACTGTAATTTGCAGCTTTGCCCCCTTGCCTTCGCCTTCGTAGTGCAACGGCGACCACCACGTCACCTCTTGGAAGCCTGGTACTTTTGGCTAGGCATTGCTTTGCTCGCTGTTTCTGTCGTTTCTTCGGTGAGCATATGCGTAAAAAGAATAATGAAACTTTTTAGAGTATACAAGCAGAAAGGGGGTTTTTCTACATCGCGCTAAAACAATTCCGACTTGTCTCGAGATGGTATTAACGATTGTGTACATAGACGCTGCGATCACAGACAGGCTGCAATATTGACAGACATGATATTTGAAGGTATTTCATCCGGTGGACGTAACGCGCGTATCAACGGTAATAGACGAAACGAAGGGGAATTCAATCAGCCAAGAGCCAATCAAAACCAGATATCTATAAGTATAATTCCTTCGGCGTTTTCGTCGCAGAGAAAGATGCTGGTGATCGGCGCGCAGCCAAACTTGACACACCTGAGTAAGAGAGCAAGCTGCTTTCTCGTATCGCATTCACCATTTATTTGTAACATTGCACGTCGTATGTTTGATAAGACTCTGGCAAAACGACGAGTAAACCTAACGAGCAGGCTACTAAATCTTGTCTCGCGTCGATCGGTCGTCTATTTGCCCTGCTAAGGTCATCTTCTTTTACGGATCGATGGAAATTGTACATAGTACGCGCGCCAATAAAACGTGGGAAATATTGATTTATGTTTCAGCACCAGTCGTTGCGTAACAAAGCGCCGTGACGCTTTGCCGATTCGTCGCAAGATCGGGCTCGAGCCTCGCTGGGACGGAGAGACGTAACGTTCCAACTCGCTCGGTCAACTCGGAGCTCGGCACACGGCACATGTCCTCTTCTCGTCGCTTAGCGAAACGCTTTAATCGTGCTATCGCTTTTTACTTTGCGCATATATTAATAATCGCTTGTATTGTAGATGGTCAGCAATAAGTAACAACTCTCGATAAATGCGAGAAAGAATCTTATCTTTCGAAAGATGAAATTGTACGGAAGCTCAATTAGTATCAACTTTGCAAGATAGATTTAGAATTGTATCAAGTTGGACAAATCTTACTACGTAGTAAAGTGTTTCGCCAATTTATCTGAAATGATAACGCTCTTTTAAACAGTAATTAAATTGACGTTTTAATATTCAATTTTATACGAGTATGTAAAGGTAAGGTTTCATACAAGTGAGAAAACGTAGGTAAGGATACAACAAGGTATAAATAGTAGGAATTATGTAAGAACAATGTAACGTTCTTTATACATAAAACAAAGTGAAAAGTGGCTAGGATTAGTTTAAAATAACGATTATCGCTTAGTCGCGATTACCGTCATTATCTTTCCATTAACTTTGACGAAAGTAGCGCGAGGTTTCAACCGGCTTCAACGACTGTCACGTTGCGACGATAATTCGCCGATTAAATTCACGCGGGACGTAACGCTGTGTGACGCGCACGTCTCCGTGTGTGAGAAAGTATACGGCGACCTTTCTCGAAGCCATTAGTGAGAGAATTACAGGCTGCGGCTCTGTCTCTTTCTTTTTTCTTCTCTTGCTGATCGCGTCTCGCGGTGATTTTGCTTCAAACGATTTAAACGATCGAATCGGTACCTACTTGATTCTTTCGAGCGACCGGGCATGCACCGTGCGGCGATAACTAGGATAACGACGCGCTCCTTCATTTCCGTGCAGCAACTCGCTCGAAATTCCATCTTTTCTTGCGTCGCAATTCACGTTTGCTCGTGCAGTTTGTGGGATTGAAATGAGAAAGAGAGAGAGAGTTGGGCGGAAGCTACTCGAAAAGAATAATCTTTTCTTGTCTTTCAATTTTTTTCTCGTTTCCTCAAAATAAAATGCATAAGGCTCCGATGTGAAATCACAGATACAAAGTAATAAAGGATATTATATTATATTCTTTTGCTATTCTTTGTCTTATATTGAATGACGTTCAATGATGTAGTGAAAAATCTGATAGATTTAGTTGACGACGAGATATACCAAGCGAACGACCAACCAAATGGACAAAGTACGTTTCAGTAACTATAAGGTTTGTACGTGTGAAAGAAATCCTTGTGCTCTCCCGTAAATCTTTTTCTCGTGGACACTCGATCCGTTTGTGCAGCAAGAAGCGATCGGAGAACAGACTGTTAAGCCTGACGCGACCTCGTTAAACTGTAACCAAGTGTCATTCCGATAACCCAACTCGGCGATCTCTTTCTCTCTTTCGAGGAGAGAGAGAGAGAGGTCGATAAAGAAATTGCAAAGAGCTCTGGTTAATGTTGCATGCGCAGGAATTCAACTCTCGTCTGCTGCACTTGAAAAGCTAATGACTGCGCGCCACGATTGAGTCATTGAATGCCGGTCAAACGGAAAACATTGCGCACGCTGCGAGAATAAGGCAAAGGCAGGAGAAAGCGCAGAACCGAACAAGGACCTTTGTCCTGTAATTGGCGCGTGATATATTAAAAGAAAAGTTTGCCTCGTTTTCTTGGATTTTTCCGCTAACGCGAGGACGCCGGCGCCGTCTCGCCCTCTCGCCATTCGGCGCCGTCAAAGTCTCGTTACGTCGAATCGTCTCTCGAAATATATAAAAGCGTACGTGGGGAGGAGTCGGCGTGTCGTTGTTCCAATAAATCGGCCAACTTTAGGAGCGCGACGGCTCCCGCCACTGTCGCGAGCGGTCCGTGGAAAAAAAAGGGGGATTCGCGCCAAAGGCGCGAGGCGAGAATAAATCGCTCCGCGACATAACCGGAACGACTGGGCACGCCGTGGCAACTGGTAAACGCCGCCGATGACGGAATGAAAATAGATGCAGGAGTAAATCGCGGCCACGGCGCGACGCTCTTTCAGTGGGAGGTGCTAAAATTAGAGGTGCCCACGTACGCGCGCGTTTCCTCCTTCCCCGACGCATTTCCAAATAGTCGTTTGAACCGATAAGACGATCCGCTCCGGCGCGTCCAAAGTCGCCCTGATTATGGCCCGTACCGCGCTCCTTCTACCTGCCGCCGAGCGGTAAACTCGTAAGAGATGCCCACGCGTCGATCGACAATCGGTCGATCGTTAGCCAGATACCTCCTCGCGGGATGCATCGTGTCGTTGTCGACGAGTCTCGCGCGAGTCGAAGGTAAGCGACCCTGCAAACTCTAATTGGCACAAAGAGATTAATCACCAACCTCCTATGCATTCTTTCCATGTAGAAGCGCAGAGGGAATTGATCCGTTCCTACTACTCGCAATTGACACATGTTGCTCTCTCGACCTTTCCTTCCGAGATTCATCTTATTTCTCACAAATTGCTCTCTTTTACAGGCAGGAAGTGCGTGTGTACGAGTAAAGCCTGCAAAGAAGCTGGCGTAGATACTTGTAGAACGAGATTCTTTTGCTACACCGAACTTATCGTCACAACGGCACGAGAAATCGGCCAAAGTACCACTACAAGAGGATGTACGGAGTACGTATATCGCACATTTACGCATCGTTCATTACTTTCTGATATATATCTAACCAAATTTTTTCCACAAGTAAATACCAATTTTGTCATACAAGTGCTTTTTATATCGATTAAAATGCCAAGAGACAAGATTTTAATTTGTCGTCTTGTGTAAGTTTGATCAACACTGTAATATAAATTCAGGAATGTGTGATGGCGCGCGAATAACCTTGACGAGATAATTGAGCGAAAAGGTTTCCGCGATTTTTATTAAGCGCCTCATTAATAACACTCTCGTGATCATCTTAAAAGTGGCAGTTACGGCAAGGATTTGCTCAACAAAATCCGGATATTATGTTAATAGGATTGTTTTCTGATATCCATTTTCTTGGCACAAGTTTTTGCTGCCCAATTCCAAATACCACACAAGTTATGTAAGCTAACGAATGGAAAATGTCAAGAATCGATGGTTGCGATCTCCACGAGATAGTTGGATGACATTGTTAGGCATCGCGTACGCACCATTAGCTATCGGCAACGCGGCAAGGCGGGACTTAATCAATTGATGCTCGTATTATCGCACACAGGGGTGCCACGCCATTGTTGTGCGAAACAAAGTCCTGGATCACGAGGTCGCGATCGGTCAACGCCGTCGAACCGTCGTCGGCAAGTCCCCGGGTTCTCGTGCCCTGGCCCAGATTGAAATGCTGCAACGGCCACGACTATTGTAACGCTGATGACAACGACGACGATGAGAACGCGAGCACGTGGACGCACGAGAGACAGGCTCAGATGCGTTCTACGGCGGATCGCGAGGCACCGATGGACGGATTAACGTCAACGAATACGACGTTAACGTTGCAGCCTGATCGAAAGTATCAAGATTCGAGAGAAGATCGACTTGTCCGGAATCACATCAGGGCGCTACATATCGCCGCTCTCGTCCTTGCTGTCGCAGCCCTCATATCCGTTCTAGCATCTTGCTACGTCGTTACAAGGTTCGCATATCTTTTTCTTCACACCTATATCTACTGTATGTATGTAAATTAATCCTTTCATTAATCGCCTTTGAAAGGTTTTATTTCAAAGAGAAATCAATACCAAGCCTTTCCAACTTGTGCTCATGCGTGGTAGAATTTGAAGATCAAAATCAAAAGAGGTAAAGAAAGATTTTTACAGCAATGTGAGACAAACAAGTAAAAGCTATCATCGAGGTATGTGTGTCACTGTGCGAAGAGACGTCGATTTGTAGCGCCGTAAGTTTCATGCTGCCTGCAATTAACATTGGATATAATTAACGATCGGCAAAGATAAATCTGTTCTCGAAAGCAGCCTTGGCGGAGCGCAGAGATCACCCTGTGTAACAGATCACGAGCATCGAGGCCACACAGCGAATGTACATACATATGTTATTATAGTAGCCACCTACACGGCGCATAGGACTCGTTTTTCCCACGTGAAACAGCTATTTATTTTGCCATTTCTCGAAAGCAAATCCGCAATACACCTATTAATATTGTGTTACGTCGAGCTAACCGCGCGTCGTCCAAACCTCGGATTTATGTCCGAGCGAGGTGTGAAAGGGCACCGGATAACAGTCTCGCAGGTAGACGGTCCTTTTTTTTTAAACGTACGGAAGCGAGAATCGAACGCACTTGTTCGGAGATAGGTCCACGTGTCTTACGACACGCTATGACGCTGTCCGAAAGCAGTGCGATCGTCGGTCCAGTTTTGGGCCTTTTACCTTGGGACTCTGGTTTACATAAAATTTTTTGAGGGTGGATTTTGGACATATAGGTGGTGGCTTGAGTCTTCATTAATGGATTGGTGTGAAAGATATCTAGGATTTTGAATTTTCGTTGCTTATCGGGGAGTTGGACACGGACATCTTCGGTAAAAAACCAGCGGTGTCCGTGGATTTTAACTCGGATCTTTTCGTTCATTTGTTTAGTAAGCAGCGCACATTTCTCTGCGCCACACTCGCCACCGGTTTAATCCTGCTTGGTCTTATTATCTTTATGGCTTTATTACTTGTACGTGCCAGTTTCGTGACTGGCTATCGATGAGCAACAATCTTTTAGGCTCTCTCTCTAAAAAAAAGAATTATTTAGTTAGATTCTTTCGTCAGGGTGAGACTTGGGTAATACCTCGAAAATGAAATAGAGCAACTCGTCTCTACGGATTATTTGCTGATCGATAGCGGTTGATCTTGAGATGAGTAGCGGTTAGTTTTTCGAAAGAGAGAACTCGCGGAGTGTACAGGACGTAACAGTTGTTAATATCACGCACATACACGATTGCGGTATTATTAAGTACATTTAGTAGTTTGCCTCAAGGGGGAATTGTAGATGGTCCTCCGGTCTAATTGACGGCATTCCTGCATTTTAGGCTCGTTCCTTATTATCTATCCAGTTTCCTTTTCTTCTGCTGTTCGACCGCACTTTCTCGGAGTAGTTTGTCGCTAAAAGCCGCCTTCTTATCAGTCTACCTCTCGGCGAGGGGCCCAATCCCCAGCCGTCAGTCATGAAAACCGTAGATAGCGCACGGCCTGGAGGCTTCTCACAGAGACCTGCCCTCTAATCTACCTTCTCCGAATGGTTAAGTGGGTTTTCGAGTTCGGGAATGTCTCGGTTCGACCCACCTCATATACACCTTGGTAAACGCGCGCGTCGTTAGTCTCTCATTCTTTTTTCTCTTCAAATGAATGGCATCGCGCGCGACCTCCGTGAGATTCCTCCGGTTTTTTTTTGCGTTTCATACGATAAAAGTGACTCTTTGTTAACTATTGTTGAAAGAACGCTTTAGCGCAGTTGAATCGTGCACTTTCAAATTCTATATCGCGAAATATAATAACTGTAACGGCTTTTCGACAGATTTCTTCCTACATATTGGAACATTCGAATGTAAATCACTGAAAAAAAGCAGGATCATCATTTCCCGGCCAAATAGAGACGTCGACTCGAACGATAATTGAGTCGAGTGTCATTTAATGGAACCCTTTAACCATTGTTTCGCTAACGACCGTTTCAGTTGCACGCGTTTTGTGTCCAAGGATTGTTTTCCATCACATCATTCACGGTTTCTAATCCTGGTCAGGCATATCCGAATAAACCTGTCGGGAGTCGGGACAAGATCCGGTTTTAAGAGGGCCGGAATCTCTCTGGCATCACGCGTGTCGAATCGATTTTTGATCGTGATTTATACACAGGAAGCTCGACGAGACTCACCCAAGAATACCGTGACGAATTCATTTCAACTGTAATTTAAATATACACATGTTGACTCCCTATCAGATACGGATCAAGTTAGAAATATACCCAACTTTTGACACAACTTGGGAAAACTTTGTACGACGGATACGCCCGCGCCGCGACGAACGCTAACCACGTATTCTATATTATATTGTAGATTCCTTAGAAGTAATGGTTACATAATGGGCACGGTAAACTAATGGTGAAGACGATGCTGAAACTTGGATGCATCGGGACTCGAAGGGATCGTGACTTTTCCTGCGAGGAAATAAATTAAGATTTGACAAGTTTATAGGTAAGCATTGCCGTTATGCCGGAAAACGTTGTAGTTTATAGTTGCATAAAGTTGGAATATATAATTATAATATGTTTTATTGGCATAAAAATAAATGTCAAGTTTGACGCTCGCGGGGATATAATTCTCGTCTCGATCGTATGCCGCTGATCGACTAACGAACGGAAAATATAAATAGAAGCCGGCCGTGCGGGAGATAACTGCTGCCGACAGGCTGGCCGCGAGTCTGTATTAAAGCGATTTTTTGTTACGCTCGCTGGATAGCTTTCAAGTTCCAGCAGTAGCGCCGGCATGGCTGTCGGAGATGGCGAGCGATCGAATATCGCGCGCTAATAATATTATCTCAGCGCGGATACTATTAACCCGTCGGCAGTCGAAACTGCAACACTGATTGATCTTGGCTGAAAATTGTAGACGAAGCTGTAAAAAGGCGTACTCGAGCAAGGGCTCCCTGTAACTGTAAAGTTTGTGTTTACTTAGGAATAACTAGATAGGCTGCGCGGGGAGAAATGTGAGACTCGACGAAGCAGCTCCACGCTGGTATCCTTTGTTCTATATCGTATGACTAACGGTGCAGGGCCATGAGGGCTCGGCGATCGGCATGCCAGGTGCCCCGGGCCCCTTTCGATTCGGGCTGTTTCAACGTAATTAGTCATCCTCCAGGACGCACATGCAACGTATATGTGCGCGCCGAAAGTCCTACGCCCAAAATGTCGGGAAAAGAAATGTAATTTTCGAGTTGTAAGGCGCAATATTGCATATATGTATATGTAGCGAAGAAAGAGCCGTCTGGGACGATCGACGGGGAAAAAGCACAGGCAAAGACATGTCGCGACGCGTCGCGTCGCGTCGCACCACTTTGGCGTCAGGGCTCTTGGCTCAGGCGCCATCGTCCCCTTCCGCGCCTCAGTTCTCACCGACTTTCCGCTGACAAATCGCACGCACACTATTTCGCGCTACACGCACACGCACGATACGATCGGAAGCTACGCGTTCCTCATGTGTACCGCTTCTTACATCGTTAACGTAAGTAGCGCGCAAGAGTAATCCAATTCCGATCATCTCGATACAAGTGGCAAGCGGAGCGGGACGTAACGCGTTCGGTAATCGACATTGGATCAGCCCGATCACCCGGGCGGCTTTTCTTTAAAAACCATTGTAAGCGGGTCTCGGAAACTCGGGCGCCGGCCGGTCGAGTCGTCGGGCCGAGCGGCGCCGCCGGCCGCCGGCCGCCGGCCGCGGAGCGGAGCGAGCCGAGTCAAGTGAGTCAGTCCAACTAGTCCAAGTAGTCAGTCAGCCGCCGGATATCGTCGGGGTAGCGTCGTGCGAGCGTCGTGCGAGCGTCGTGGCGGCGTCGTCGCGTCAATGCTCATGCCGAGGCGCGTCAATGGTGACAACGACCATCTCGACGCTCTAATTAGATGCCTGATTTTCCTGACGACGACGACGAACTCACCACGTGGACGGTTATCCCGCGATCGAGTCGATTTGAAAGCGAGTTGCCGGGATGTTGCCGCGCGACGCCTTGACTATCGCGATGGTGACGACAGCTCTCGTCGTCGCTGTCACCAGCGGTGCGCCAACAAACCTCGATCCGGAAGATTACGAGGTGCTCGCCGACAACAAGGCGAAATTGATCGATAAAGGTAAGACGAATTTTCACGCAGATGCGAATAATAGCTGTTATGTCGAGCTAGCGAAGGTGCGATACAAGTTGCGTGCGAGTGATCGCAGGAAACACGGCGCGTGCACGTGCTTGTTTTGCTAATTGTCATGAATTTCGCAGGAAAGAACTAACGATAATGCCAAGTTGGACCGATTGCGAGAAGGGTGGTCTCCCAAAAATACCCGAAACAATTGAGCTGCAAAAGGCCATTACGCGATGGTGTAAACGTTAACTATCTCGACGCGGGGGTCGGTCGCAATAAAATGGTTTACTCGAATCGAGCGCGAATTACATCGTCTATCTCGCAACATAGTGTCGAAGACGAGCTAATAATGAGGAAATTTGGCCGTTGGCACGATAGCCAGACTAGAAAAGACGATAAAACGGCGGGCGCCAGTTAGGCGCTGCATATGTATATGCATGATAAATACCGACACGCTTGTTGCCCGCGTTGCGCACATTGTTGCATCACGTCCGCGTGTCGTATTTTCATTTCCTCCTTGGATAATCCAAGTATCAATCGTAAGATTGCTTTTATTAGGGCGAGGGCGAGGGCGAGACGATGGTATTAGTCTTGGAGCAAAGCTGCAATCCTCGGTAATCGATATGTAGATATTGGCTAACAAGTCGTACATTTCGCTCGACGTTGGCCCAAAATTGACACAATATTCGTCGTGGTCGTCGGAGCCACCGTTGTCCGTCGAGTGGCGAGTGGCGCGACACGAGGAAAAATGCGAGCTCATCGACGCCAACGAGGAGAGTGTACCGCGTACAGCTGGCGCACGCACGCTCGCACGTACACAGCCTCGACTCGGTGGCGCCTGTCGGCCACACGGATGTGCATGCGTGCGTGACGAGTTTGTACCTCTTTGGCTATGTACGTCCCGTACATAAATACACATATGTGGTGTCCCACGAAGCGATCGCTATGCCCGGATTCGTAACGATGGGTCTGCCCCGCTTCGCGGAATTTGCCCAAGGATCTTTTCACCGAAATCATTTTCTGTTCTTTTGCCACGACGCGACAGCTCTCGATACATTTTCATCGACGTTGTACATTCCACCGTTAATTAAATAACATCAAAGTAATGGGCGCTTTCGCTTCGCCGTTGCAAACCATCTGTTTTGCTCAATCTAGATTGAGTCGACGAGCGACGCGTCAAGTTAACGACTCCTTCGATGGCCGCTGATGCGAGTTTTCCGTGTCGAGTTTCTTACTCGATATCTAATGGGAAGGTGTCATTGTTCTTGCTAATCTCTCGGCTCAACAAACTTCCTTACAGTTCAGTCAACGAGACTATTTTTCCTACATATATTGAATCTACAAACTAATTATTACTTTCTGAGCTAAGGTTGGATTATTGTTTTATTGTTAGAGGAATAATCTCCTCCGCACAATGTTAACTCAATATAATTTAACAATGTTTTTCACATCACGTTACAAGACATTAGACGTTTTCGTAACATTGATACAATATCGCAATGTTGTAATAAAACATTTCTGTGCTGAATGGGGGGGTAAATAATGTACCTTGGTTTCGGTGCTTGTAGTTACTTAGGGCCAGTTGACAAACACCGGTTAACCGTTGACCAGACCGTACCTCTTGTAAAAAGAGACAGAGAATCAATTGACCTTCGGAAAAACTTGGCGAGAGAAAATTTCTACACCCCGCCATTTTATCCGAAAAAAACAATTTCCAAGGCTTTCGAGAACAAGGGTACTCTGTAAAGGAGTGAACGCTGAAACAGACACGCGCCGGTAGTAGATTTGAAAGAAATAGACGGGGATAGGATGAATCAGAGCTAAGATAAAGGAATATTAGTTTTCGCTCGGGAAAATGTACGTATCGACACACGTACCTCTTTATTAGCAGATCTATTTGCATAAGAACGCATACGTACGGTGAGGTGTGCTCCCGGCCTCTCGCCTTTGTTATGTAAAAATTAGGCGCGCGCGCGCTTTCCGCGGCGCCACGTAGAATCACGCGTACGCGCGATCTCGCTGTAAATATAGCCTCGCGCCTCGGTATTCCGTTTTATTGAGCTCGGAACTTGACATCTCCAGTACGATCATTTTCATACAATACTCGCGCGCCGCGGCGATGTCTGGAGGAAAATGATTGAGAAAGAATGGGTGGGTATTAATAGCGCATCTCGATCGACGGTCGACGACATTTCCCGACTAATCCCGACGCGCGGTAACGTGTGTTGGTTTGGCGCCGAAAGCGCATTCCGCGCGATAGAGCTCGTGAAAAATGCGCGACGACTTTTCGCTATTTACAATCGGCTATCAATCACCGCGCGTTATATCCGTGGCATTCGGAATAGACGGACGCGCGCGTTATGTTAATGGCGCGCTTCGTATGCGGCGGGCGTCGCGCACAGGCACGCGCGCGGCATGCATGTGCACGAGAATCGAGATGCGTCGAATCCAAATGAACGAGCCATTCCGCGCGGCCGCTTGCAGTGACTCGGCGATCAACGAACTTGCGACTGGGTTAGATCCATCTGCATTTTCACGGTGTTGCTCGCAGTCACTCGTTGGACTCGAGAGTGCCGATAGCTAGCCAATAACGGCGCGACCGTTCTGGATCAATTAACGCGATTCCCCGAGCTTCCCCCTTCGCGCCACTTTTTGCTATGCTGCACCGATGACGTGTTTGCATCGCTCGAGGCGAGCGAAAGTAATCGCGGGATAGAAACGAGTCGCTCCGTTCTGGATTACTGCCAAGGCATGTCGAAGATTCATTCATTATTTCGCTCAAAGAGAGCCCATTTTTCGGCATATAGCATCTGCAAATGCGATCGCTCCAGCGATCTTCTCTTATCGATATATTCTAGGAATCAATGTCAACGCTTTCAAGGAAACGCCTTTACAAGCGCGCACAGCCTTGTTTTTCACTTTGCGCGCGATGCGAAGATGACACGTGTAGAATAAACGATTATGTAGCATTGTGTAGCACAGAGAGAGGATAGATAGCTCCGGTTTCATTGATAGCGCTCGATGAAGCGCAGCCGAATGAGGAACGCGATACCGTTTAGCGGCCGCTCCCGAAGCTCGGCCAACTCATATCTACCTGCTGTCATCAAGACGAAGAAGAGGAGGGAAAAGCGAAAGACGGTCTCTACCCTCCGGAAACCGAGGTCGGAGTCGGCGATTGTCGCTTCTTCCCCGTTTTACAGCGAGACACAAGGGAGCGAAGCACTTCCTTTCCACGTCGTATTAGCCTTTGTTCTCGCGATAAATCATCCAACGCTTCGGTAACCTGGGGCTTAGGGTTACCGCTTTGTCTCGTCCGCCAACTTGTTTACGCATCGCGAAGCAGACCGTTAAAAAGGAGGTTGTTGAAAACTGGCCGTACTGTCTCTCTCTCGTCATTTTAGGTCGGGAGAAAGAAATGAGAAAGCGGAAACATCGCTGCGCTCGCGCGGCGCGGATTCGAGGTCACGTCGCCGCGTCGACGATTCGTTTCGCGCAATTAGAGCCAGCGTTTTGGCATTTAGGCGCCAGCAGCTAGTCTTACCGAGCGAGTCAGGACTTGACGTAAAAATTTTCTGTTTAATCAGGAATCTCTCGAGCTAATCACGGGCGCTTTCGGCGAGCGATAATGAAAGATGGTCGCAGGTTGCCTCCGCAAAAAGAAAAAAAAAGAGGAAAATGATGATAAAGGGCCCCGCGCGCGTTCCTCTCCGAAGCAACGCATGTAATTTGGAGCAATTTGGCAATTGCATATAATTGACGAGGATGCCTTTTACTTGCCGATGGGGCCGCTCGCGTCGCGTCCGCATATCCGAGTTAAGTAGGGCTAATCACCGGGTTGCCGAGGCTCGGGAACATCAAGAGCCTGTCTTCTAGCGCCGAAACGCCGGGATCGCGGCGTGTATATACTTATGCCGGCCGTACGCTATATTCGGGATGCCGCGGCCTTAGATACACGTACCTGGGCCCCCTGTCCATGGAATGGCAGGGCCCCCGGAGCGAGGCCCTCCGCCTACTTCCCAGAACAAGGACCCCGGCTCTCCATTGTTCTTGCTAATTGCCACCCCGCCGTAACCATCTCGCTTCCCGAATCGTCTCGAGTCTCCCTCCCTCATAATGCTCGAATAGAGAGCCCGTCCCAACGCAAATACCACCTTCGATATACCACCACACTGTACCTTTGTGAAACGAGAATTAGCCGAAAGCAGCCCCTTTGCCCGAAGGAACATTCGTTGCTCGCATAGCGAAAATACCCGAGCTGTTGACCTGTTTCTCCTTCAAATTGCTGCATTTCGGGAACATAGGCGGCTACTCTTGAGGATAATCCCCCTGGCATTTGTTCATACGCCTTGTCAGCACGACAAAAGCATTCCTCGCGTAGGAGGATTATCGTCTCTTCTATACCGTACGATGACAGCTGACAATTTATTCAATTCGGAATAATTGTCTTGAGAAAAATTGGAAAATTTTTCCTAAATCTCGGTAACGAATCGGGGGCCCCACCGACGTCACTCGACGAAAGTTTCTCACGAATCTCTTCGGACCAACATAGACCGGTCCTCTTCGGCCTCTTCATCATCAGCGCTCTTTCGACCACTCCTTTCGCCTTTCCACGCCGATGAGCCGTCCCTTTTACCTTTTCGCATAACTCCGCGAGTTCCCAAGTCCCCTTCCGCTCGTAAGTGCAAACAGGTGTCTCGTCGCCGCGGATTCCCACGTTGTTTTCCGATTTGCAATCCATTTATAATCCTAATCGCTACTTTAGACGCTCGCTTACGATCTAACGATAAATCGAAACGGCTCACGATCAAGTACTTGGAAACCGTATAGAGCATAAATTATTAATTGGCAATCCTTTCGTTATCCTCGCGAAACAGAGACGCGACTTGTTCTCGCTCGCACACTAATTACCGTTACGCTCGGTAGCGCTAATTAGAAAAGCGCGTTTGCTAATGCATTTGGTTCAATACAGAGAGTTCGCAATGTACTTGAGCAAGGCGACGTTGCGCAATGTCTTCTCGTGAGTTACATGGATAATATATACTTGAAGAGACTCTACTCGTTAGCTTCATCATTGCGCGGCAGACACCGACGTGCGCTTTAGATACATCCTACATGTCCTACCCATATACATATACATATAATATACATAAACATGTGCATACGCATACATGGGTCGTCGGTCTCCTAATTGTATGTGCGCACGCACACACACACACAACACACAAACGGTGCCCGTTCGAGTCTCGCGCTTTCTATCCTCGGGCGCATGGCTCGGAGCTCTCCAGTATCGCGAATTAATCCTAAATCCGCGAATAAAACTCATTTTATCTTTCAAATCATCTTTTCGTCGCACTTGCATACGATAGTATTATCGATGCTCCCCGAGTCACGAGAGACGGTATTATCTCGCTATCTCACAACAATGACGAGTATGTATACGTTTAGTTACGATAGACAAAGGAAAATTGTGAAATTGTACCGACGTCAATTGCGTGCTTTTTTCATTAAATAAGGCCCATTTTTTACAAAGTGAAATAGCGCTTAAAATTTATGGTATGTACTGCCGAGTAGAAATAAAAAAGGAACGTCACATGATAATGGAGAAATCGATGAAACGTTCGATATTCGTTGATCGTCATTACATACACGTCAGTCTCGCCGGTGGGGTCCAATACTCTGAGGATTCAGGAACGAAAAAAGAAATGCAGGCGAAGAGAGAGAGAGAGAGAGAGGGTAGCTCGCCGAGGCTGGGACGGACCAGGTCGGACCAGCCTGGAGAATAATTAATATACCGTAGACGCATAACGAACGACTCCGCGATGCAGTATGTTTGTTTTCGGATGGCTCTTCCCCGGCCTCAGGCTTGTCGGTCGTATCTCTCTTCAGTCGGATCCCTCGACCTCCCGCTGCTTTCCCCCCCTTTCCCTTTTTATTTTAAACGCGCACACGCGTATGGGACCATGCTGTTCTTTGAATTTTTCTTTTCGAAGGCTACCGTTCTTTATTTCGACTCAACTGCTATGCTCAACGGTATGCCCTAAAATGCCTACTTACAAAAATACGTTTCGTACAATGTACATTCATGTTACTTGCAAATATAGAAAGAACTGTATCATGGCGGTTTTATTTTATTTTAAAAACCAACATTTTTCCTTCACGAATCTTTGGTCATTCGTTTAAAATGTGAAAAGTCGAAAGAGAAAGATTTCGTATGCATTTTCATCAAATAACTTGATAAAGTGAATGGCAGAGGGCAAATAAGGAGTGTTTCTGACCTGATTTCAACTAAAAACTGTGAAACATTTTTCTAACTTTCTAAAGCCACGTGTAATTTCCTCATTTGCGACACGTAATCGCGTGCGATGAAATCGTCAAGCTCTATTCTCTCTCTCGTATTTAATTTCATCGAATTGCATTGAATTGCATCGGGAGAGAGAAAGAGAGGAGATACACGCGCGCACAGCGGAGCAGCGCCGCATGCCTCTCCCCCCATATATCCTCTCCACTTTAATCTTTCTTTTGTGACTCGGCTGTTTTAGCGTTTTTTAGTCCCCGATGAGCTGGACCCCGACAGGCTGCGAACGGAGAGAGGGGCCGGCAGCCGGCACTTGCAAGGCTCGCTCGCAGAGAAAGAGCAAGAGAGAGGGAGGAGGAGAGTCAGGGCTTATTAGCAAGAAACCGGTGGAGAAAGACGAGGTCGCGAGGGGAACCCGGCAAGATGTTAGACCGGGGGTTGGGTTGGGGTAAACGAAGCCGAACATGCTCGCGGATAAAGATGGCTTCGCAATATCGTAATAAACGTTTCTCTCTCCCTCCCTTATCTCTCTTCTGCTCTCTCTCCCACTTGTCCTCTTCGTTTATTTCGCGCGGTCCTCATTAAGTTACAGCCGCGTTCAATGCAAGACTCTTCTCCACGTTGCTCACCTCTGAAACCAACTCTGACAAATATGTTAAATCTCTCGCTTGCGTATACTAGATTATACATATACATGGTCGGCCCAGAAAGTATCGGGACTGATTTTTTCTATTCAAAGGAAAGGTCTCTATGGGCCCCTGCCCAAATTAGTGGGGAATGTCAGGTATACGACGCGACCCAGCTCGATTCCCTCTGATGAGAATTCAAATTTCAGATATATGATTGAAATTTTTCAGAAAAACTCCGCTGTTAGAGGACACCACAAAACAACTGCTCACTCTGTAAAGGCTCAGAGGCAATAGAGCCGGGTCGCGTCGTATACCTGACATTCCTCACTAATGTCCCATAGAGACCACCGCTTCCCCTTGACCCCTTCCCCTTGACTAGAAAAAATCAGTCCCGATACTTTGTGGAGCGACCATGTATAATCCGATTTAATCAAATTTTAATTTAAATAAAAAATGTACGATTGTCTCTGGTTGCAGATTCCTCCAGAATGGTAGAAGTAAGATGCTTCTGCAATCAACCAGAGTGCGTTCCTCAGGGATACATGTGTCGCGGTAGGGGCTGCTTCACAAAATTACCATCGTACGCAAGCGCGCCGCTTTCGATAGCGGACCCTACTGCTCACAGCGGTTGCCTCAACGAAAGCTTCAAAAGTCGCAAGTGCCCCACAAGATTTCTCTGCTGCTATCAAGATCTCTGCAATCATGTGGACATTCCCGTGATGAAAAATAGATTCAATGATACTCAACGAGGTTCGTCAGAGCTCTCTTTTACCCTCTTATCCCTTTGATGCTATTAACAACACTCTCAACTTGTCATATCCATCACGTTGATTATCGTAAAATTGAATTGGCTAATCGAATGCAATTTTGTACACGCAAATATCTCTTTCTACACTTAAGAAAAAAATTACTTGTTAAACATTGTAGAGAGTGGCGATCAGCGAGCGTACTTGGCCCCGCAATTGCATCCACACAGTCGCGGAAGTCAGACCGATGGCTGGTTCCCGACGGCGACGATCATCGTGCTTATCTGTGGATTCATCGTCCTGCTTGTGATTGCCAGCTTAGCCTTCAAATGGCTTCAGCCTATGCCGGCGCAAAACGCAAATAAATTCGTGCCACATCGAACATCCGATAACGGGCCGCCCTTATTGGGACCACCGAAAGTGCCTCTGGTTTAAGAAATTTCCCGATAAGAGGTGTTTTAAGTAATAGTTTAATTAATTGAGAGCTGGCTACGCTAGTTTTGGTATATGACTCACCAATTCGGAGTTGCCATATACATGTACATATATATTTGTAATTTGCGTAACGAAGAGTATTCGTCGTACGCATCTAATCTTGAGAACGATGCGAGTGATCTTATTCCGATTTTATTTCGTTTGGACTCTGTTGATTTCTTACAATTGTTGAGTTATTACAGAGGCCAGAGTCATATACCGAGTTCAACAGCCATAAAACGGCTGTCGTGGAAGCTAGCGGGCCGTCGAAGGCTCTACTTGGCTGTGAATTCTACGAAGAAAGCAACTACTGTAAATTATATATATATATACATATATATATATATATCTCGTAATGATAACGTATTACTCGTTGCATTTCCTCGAAACGACGTCGCGCGGCACGCGCCTCGTCGCGAGATCAAAGAGTGAGAATGGGTCAAGAGAGAGAGACTTTTCGATCCTTTAAACATGACGTTACGACGACACAAAGCTTCGGTGTCGCTTTAGGATTGTAAATATAGATATGTATCTATGTATTTTTTATCATCTTGATAAACCAATATAGTGAATAAATTTCACGATATTGACGATCGTGTTGCTACGATGTGAGAACGTCCTTTAATGTCGCGCGACCATTGAACTCTGCTCCCCTAAGGATATATTATTACATTTTAATTGACACGTCAATAAAGAAAGGATTGTCTTTTGCAAACGATCCGTAAGAATATTACAAGAGAAAATTAATTTGTGATCGACATACCTTTCCAAGTTCAAGTCGATTTCAGTCACAGCCATTAAAATTTGTCACGCAACTTGTACGTATTTCTTTAGATATATTTTTAAGCGTATCTCATATAAGCACAATATTGTGATAGTACGACATAATAATGACTAAACAAATACGTAGATCTATCGAGACTTTGTTTTATACATGTTACTTGTGAGGAATGAAAGGAAAAAAATAAAAGTCAAAGTAGAGTGTATCTTGAGTGTACCTTTTCATCGCGTATTTTTGTTCATTGTGTCTGTATTTATTTGCTCCTTTTCATCGACAACATACACATACCATATTGGTATCCGGTATATAGGAAGGATACGTCATTACTCTATAAAATAGGTATTCTGTTTGGCCAGCTCAGAAAACAATGTCATGCTGTGTTGAAATTTCAATCATAAAACGTGCATATAATATGTTTGGCATCACAGCTTAAAAACGGTCCAATTTTATTATGTATATACCATTCAATGTTTACAAATTTCTCTCATACCATGTCTGGTTATGACCCACTGTTCGTTCTCTACTTTGTCCCGAAAGAAAGTGCATTGTTTTATAAAAATACTGTTCAAGGTATCGTATTGTATCCGTCTCCATTCTCTCTCATATCTGCTTTCTAATTTCTTCAGTCAAAAAAGAAATTTTCTTTTTCCTCGAAAGAAACGATTCTCATCTTGTCAATTGATTATCGGGCATGTATCGTTTATGTATGCACATAACGTAGGAATATTGAGATTTAGTTAATCCTTTCATCAGTCACAACCCACATGATGGGTTTCCTTTGTAATTAATACAATAACGTGGTGAGTTTAAGAAAGTATTTCTCCCAATGATTTGACGTAGGCCTCGTGAATTTTGTGGATAAAGTCTGGATCGCTCTTCAACAAATAAGTGAACGCTTGTAAAAGCTGAGACTTTGTTAGCGGTTCTAACGGTCTAGTTGCAACGGGTTCAGGTGGACTGGGAGCGGCAAACATGACGGGTGGTATTAACGCTGGTGCCGAGCCTCTTCCTGACAACGTAGGCGCCGCCGGGATAATATCGTCCGATGACTAAATCAAACAAGGGAGTATAATATACATATACAGACACACGTCTATATCGTCAATAACCAAGTAAAATTTTCTTACTATACTTCCGGAGGCATGAGCAAGCAATGACGCGAGCGGATTGCTACTGTTGGTATTGGTAACGTTTGAAACTTGATGGTTTCTTAAAGTCGCTACATTACAAGTCGGCGACTGTATCCTGAGAAATCCAGTCGATCCGTTTGAATCGTTGACGTTTTGGGCGACAGGTCGTGGCAAATCTTGAGAGACAGGTGCAGACGAGGACATAATCGATTCTGGTTGAGGAGTCACTTTGTTTCGTCTCTTTGACTTGTTTGTAGACGGAATCGCCGCCAATTGCGACTGATGAGACGGTTGGGGCGTTACAGACCTTTGCTGTTTCTCAATATGTTCTAAAGTATGCGCTGCCGGATGAGACATTAAACGTGCCAGTAAAGGCTTACTCTCGACCGCAACCGTACTTCCTGGAGCAGGTTGGTCACCTGCTTTGAAATGTCCCGTATTCACCTGGTCGACACAATATACAAGCGACATGGAGGATATGTCAAGAGATGTATGGGATATGTCAAGTAGAGAGCAGATAAGATTGGACGCTAACCTTGGCTTTAGCAAAGAAGTCCATTACACTCTGGGAAGTGACGTCGGGTCCTAAGGGAGCGGCTAGAGGGCCAGAAATGTTATCGATCATAGGTGTAACCGATGGTGATTTTAATCCCGTAGTCGCGTTACCAGTAATGCTATCGCTTCCTCTGCTCGTGTTAAAGTCCTCTTGCGCCTTGCTAAGCATACTGAATATATCGACATTGTTTACGCTAGGTCCCGAGGTCTTTTTAGCCTTAAGTAACGGCTTGTTGGTGACCTTGCGACTTTCCTCGCACTCCTTGAGCAATTTGTTCAACATTTTGGCGATGCGTACGCACTCTTCCTTTTCGTAAAACCAAATGCCGTAGATATTGCATCTGGAATTTCTGTATAACAAAAATGGTTCCTGCAGTTGCAAATCCAAGCCCGAAGCAACCGGCTCTACTAGATTGTTTGTATTCAATCTGTAAGAAATATCCATTATTTCTTATTCGGTAGATGCTAAAGAGACTGAAAGAGATACTAAACTCGAATCGCGAATTGGAGATAATTTGCAAATCTGTCATTACAAATCACGCATTAAAGGTTTCCCTGGACGGTTGGTATACAACACCTCGGTGTATACTACCTGTTCATTATGAGAATACTGTTGTACGGCTCGCCGCTTCTCGAGTACAAGAACAGAGCGCCCTCAATGTCGGTCTTTTCCCATTCATTTTCGTCGGCGTTGAACGTGTACAGAGCGACGTGAGTCGCAGTTTCCAAAATATCCTTCACGTAGGGGTCAACTCCTTTCAAAGCAGCCACGTTCATCTTCAGCTCAGTTCGATCCGTCATGATTACAATAATGATAACGATAACGATGATGAGTTTAAAATAGCGATACTCGCCAGTCGACAATTACAAACAGCTTAGCGTTAACCCGGCACTTTCTCTATCTTTCCTCCACTGGCTGAGATCACCAATCGTGGAGAGAGTCGTATTTTCAAATAACTCCAGAGCAGCTGCTCTCGCAATAAACGCCATACTAGATTTCTATACGATATTATATAGGATACCATTGCGTGCATTGGTTGCGTTTAGAAAAAGCGGCTCGGCGGTTCTTCAATACCATTGGTTCTTGCCCGTGATATTTGCCCGGATCCAAGTGTAGAAACCAATCGTCATTCGCTCAACGCACACAGAGCCCAGAGTCTGACAAGCGTCCCAAAGATGGCACTATGTCTTTTTTCTCTCTCTCTCTCTCTCGTACCGTTATATATCGGTAATGTAGACAACCACAAGTTTGACATTGGGAGGGAAATGTAGATAGCGCTTCCTCGATTTTAGTCGCGCAAGCGTATTTCACATGCACGCGTGCATTGTAATTGTTTTATCAGGAAAATGTGATTTGCAGTTTGCAATATAGGACCTTGCATAGTAATGTTCTTTCGATTGTAACAAGTGTGACAGTCGAACGGTCAAAGGCTAGTCAGAATGACCGATCAAGATACAAATGATAATACTCTTCCGTTACGGGAGAGTTTGGTAAGTTATTTATTGCTCGTTGGTTATGGAAATTTAAAAAATTGTACCATACAATTATTTTGTCAAACTCGATTACGCATGCACCTAGCTAAGCATTACATTAATGTACACATTGTAACATGTTATCATTGATGAAGGTGAAAACTGCAGTGCAATTTCTACAAAACCCTAAAGTGTCGTCGAGTCCATTGGTGCAAAAACAAGAATTTCTTAAGAGGAAAGGTCTCACGGATGAGGAGATTAAAACAGCTTTCAAGCTGGCGTCGGTCGACAATGTAGCTGATCGCAATGCTATTCAAAGTCAGAATCCATACACCGCTGTACAAATGCCATCAGGATCCGTTTATCCATATCGTCAAATGAGTGTTTACCGACCAACGTTTTTGCACAAAGTCAAAGAGATCTTTAATGCAACCGCATTAATTGGCGTGACAGTATACTGCGCGTATTGGTTTTATAAGGTATCTTGTGCAGTCCAGACAAATTTCAACATTTTTATTTCTTTTCTGCAAGACATTTCAACAATTTTTCATATTAACCTTTCCATTCTCTAATTCTTGGTATAAAATACATATGTACATTTGTTGTTTTGCTTGTGTACCGAAATACATGCAATTCCTTATTTTGCAGAGATTTATAGAACCCTTCCTGTTTGGGCGGAGAAAGAAGAGAAGCGTTGAAGATAGGGTAACTGAATTAGATAAAACCGTCCAAAGTTCTATGAAAGAAGTGAAGGATTCCATTTTGAAAGTAGAAGGCGAAATGCAAAAGCTGTCTCAGCATCAAGCATTGGATCCAACTATCCCACAGTTGGTGCAAGAACTTAAACACGACTTGTCTAGTCTAAAAGCTTTACTTTTGTCAAGGTATACTTTCCTTTTTCTTTTTATATAAAACTTACATGTCTTATCTTAAATCTATGATATATACGTACGTGTCATAAGAGAGCGATGATAGATCGTCAGTAATAGCAATTTATTGCCATACAATAAGGGTTCATTTAAACATCATCTTATTCTCGTATATGATGCTCGCTTATATTAACATCATTATTTTTACAAGAGATCAAATGTCGTCACAACCTCACATTCTCATACATATACAATTTTATCTGAAATTGTTTAAGAAATGGAGTTTAAGAAATAGTCTGGTAATTTTCATTTAAACAAGACTTTTACAGAATATAACTTGAAAATATAAATTTGTGCTTATTTCTATTTTTGACCATTTGCATTTTCAAGTAATGAAATTGATACAGATTATAGTACGCGTATCTTTTCCTACATCGTGAATTTAACACATAAGAAGAATTAACTACAACTCGATATTTTTATAAATTCATTCATCTCTTAAAATAGAAAACAGTTTCCTACTGCCCCAGCATCTATACCACCATGGCAGTTGGGTGCAACAAATGTAAGCCAAGAGAAAGTAACGGAACGAGAAGACGATGCTGGAAGTGGTAGCAGTACCAACAATTCGGACAGTTCTTTGGAAATGATTCGAGAAGATCCACCCAAAGAATAGGTTTAGGAGAATTTTCAGTCTATCGCAATTACTTCCATAATAGAGTCTTCGATATAAGATATACTCGATATAATATATTGAAGCAAATGGATTATAATTTCAATAGTACATGGTATTATGCTTCATATTATTTTTATACAGGATGTTGGAAAAGAAAAGTTTAGGACTAAGATATTAATTCTTTTTTAACACCTTGTATATGTATGTTAGTAGCATCAATCTGCATTTTTGGTAGTAGTATTCATAACTTTGTACAGTTAAAGTGTTTTAATATTTATGAAACAATGTTCCGTTATAAAGAGCAACTTTTAATACGTATAACGGTGAAGAATCGTGAAATTTATACCTCAGTTGTGTCATTTACTACAACAATGTGACAAATCGATCATATGTATTAGACTCGATTGCAGATTTTCTTGCAATTTTCTAATAAAATGTTTTTCTTGTATAAAATCTAAACAGGCTGTTAGTAGTTTCTTAAAAAAATTAATTTGCTTTACCACACTTTACCACAGTACAAAAATGTAAGGGAGATAAGGAGAAGAGGGAAATGGGTAATTAGAAATTTTTTACTCCTCTGAAAAGATTTTACGTGAGGGAAAAGCGATATTTTCCATTTTATAATTACACATCTAATGTATAAGAAGCGTCCTTGGAAGGACTTGCGAGAATTAGGTTTGGTTGTTTTGGAGACAAATCGGTATAAAGATGTAGCAATTTTCTACATCATCATGAAATAAACTATTTAATATGTGTAACGTATATGTAAATGTTAATATTTTAATCTAGAGTTAAAAACATCGAAAACAGTTACAATACAAAGTATCGTGTTTAATATTGTAAATTTTGTATCGAAAATGGAATTGGATCGTACTATAAACTGAGAAGTTACTTTCACATATAGTACTTGTCCGCGTTACAGTGCAGACAGTGTTGTGTGTACAGATATAATTTTATTGAATAAATTGAAATAATTAATTTTACTCTTCCATTTTACATAGAAGACTGTTATATGTATACGCATTGCCCATGGCTCGTGTCTCGCGAGAACAATTGTTATTTACAATAGAGAAAGTATATACGTTGTACAATACATAATGACAGAAAAACGATAACTTCAATTAAAAAAATCTTTATTGAAGAATGACTGATATCGCTAGATCTTGTACACATGGGCGTATTGTTCTTTTTCAACTTTTTAAATTGAATAAATTGATTTTACATTTTATGTATAAATGCATGTGTATGTGTATGTGCGCGCGCGCGCACATATACATACACCACACATGTAGAGATATTAAATTAAGTCCATGTATTGTAACTTACTTATGTCGATCATTCATACAAAAATCAGTCATACTTGAGTTGCGTCAAATACACCCGAGTAATATGTACAGACTGTATAATGTTCGATATTATTGTTACATCACTAAACAAGCAAACAAAGTACATAGATGTGTGTACGCGCGTGTATGTGTTATGTGTGTACATGTATGTGTACAGTCTGCTATTATATCGCTTATATCGCTTACAAGGAGAGCTCATGATATGTGATAATTCAATGTTTTCACCTTTCGTGAATGTGATATAAACACGTTATACGTATAATCAATCGAATAAATGTGTAAATTAAATGCGAACGCGCTTTTTAAATTAGAGAAAAATTTGTCTACAACACCTTTACGCAACACATTTCAAAAGTATTTGCAACTATTGTAATTGAGTACTATATTGGTATATAAATCATCCTTGCCTCAATCTTACAGTCTCATGGTTATTATTTAGAAACGAAAGTTTAACGAAAGTTATGGTGTCTAATAAATATCTAAACTAGTGTTAGTGTCGGTGTTACTTGATGTAAACTACATCAAGATATTTACAAACATATTCTTTTTTACATTGTATATTTTTTCGTTTATAAATTTATTAATTGCAATTATTTTCTGGAGAAATGGAGAAAATGAAAAGTCGCATATTATAAACTCTTCTTGGGAGAGCGCACTAACGCAATCAACCTTATAGATCATAATTGCATACATGTAATATTCCATATCGCGGAAGTTTTGACGAAAACAGATGTCACATCACTCTTTCCTGGTTTTATATTAATACTTTTTTTTTATTAGATATAACCAGGATAGCTGCCTCACTGATACAGTGAGTTACAGCGAAATCCATTTGACTTAGGTACATCTCTCAATCTTTCTCTCTCTACATCCTAGGTTAATAATATATAATAACAAAAGTATTTTATTCCAATGCTTTAGCTTCCATGATGTGCCGCCAAAATATATAAATAAAAACTGTAAGTATAATCCTTATCTAAAATGAAAAATCTTGCGGGCTAATGCGGTTCTACCTTATTTTCGTATCTTGGTCTTTGGTAAAGGCTTATTTAACAGAAAAAGTAAAGAACTTCGCTCTATAATTTTGCATACATGGACTGTACAACGCAAAGAATTATCCTAGGATGTTTTGTGCTGATGTAATTATTGGCTGAATACCCTTCGATATTTGCTCGCCGCTGTTCGTTCGAGCATAGAAAAACCAAGGACTGAAGAAGGGGGTTTTTTCTCTCTCGCTCTCTCTCATTGTTTCTTATTATACGGGTAGCGACCTAATGTTGCTATTAATTAATAACAATAATAATCCTAGGCTAGACACGCTAACTGAAACTGCTAGTAGTTTCAATCCTAGAATATCTAGTATATCATTTAATCTCGGCTATGCTACCAAGTATGATGTAAGTGTAAATTCCTTGAAAGAACGGATCGTACATCCTGCGTGAAACGAAGAGCGTCCAAGACTGGAAGTAAGCTCAATAAAGCGGTGTCTCCCGCATCGCTGAACCATGACTTTATGGGTATCGCGTTGTCTATGACATAAAAAAAGAAGAGACAATGATACAATAAAGTAGCGCGTTATCAGTCTGTTTTGCTTCAACTTTATCCTACCAATAATATTACGTGCATTTCTGTTATAAAACAAAGCAAACCATAAGAAGATAGAAAGTCTCTCTTGTCATTTAAAAAAAAGAAAGACGCGCAGACTCTATTTTCCAAGTAATCTACGCATTGTACATTATAGTATCGCATGTCTTTAAAAAATAAGATTTGTACTTCACGTTTGCCCAGATACCAGATTAAATACGATATCGTTAAGTTCGTTCATTTCTACAAAGATAAAATGATATATCGGTGACGCGTACAAGTATTATATATATATATTAAAAGATATTACATGCACTTTACGCAGTTTGAATATTTAAAGGGAAATGGAAACGACTAAACTGTCATTCTATCAAGTGAACGCCAGGCGTGATAGAAGAAATTGCATTAAAATGGTACATATACTTACGTGGATAGGCTCTGTAAGCTCCTGGACTGTTATCAAGTATAAAGACTGAAGAGAGATCTGAACAGATTGCTGATAAATCCTTGGTATAGGAACCCATTTCTGGCGTACAATGTTGTCTATAATATCTGCGCCTTAAAATACCTCTGTTATTATCTAATTTATCCGCAACTGCTGCTCCATATATTTCCATGGATGCAGTAAAGACTACTAGCTCGTACCTATGTGATACAGATAACGAGAGAAAATTATTATTATCTTAAAGTACAAGTGAGAAGAACCGATACGTTTCTGTTTACGACAATACTTACCACTGACTAACAATATCCAAGAAGAAGTCTACGTGTGGTCTTTTATGGACAAAAAATCTAACAGGATGTCTGTCTATCGTCACTTTAAGAACAAAATCTGGAGGCGTACCAGGCCTGACTGTTGGCCTTGCTACTCCGTCGTGATGAGAGTGAATTAACGTTTCGTCTAAATCCAGTACTAATACTTTTCTGTTAACTATACCTGCAACATTCTTGTATTGTACACAAATATGGAAAAACATTCAACACAACTAGTAATAAGTATAATAATAATAATAAGGGACAAAATTCATACATTGCTTTTATTGGGGTACCTACTAAGTCTGTGCCTAGATAAAGGTGAAAGCGGGAAGATCTCGTATTTGACTGGTTGCATCTGTGAGATCTAAAACAAAAAGAGATCAAGATTGTACTATTGCGATATATAATATATATCAGAAAATGTAAGAGGTCAAATTTTTCTTTAGAGAAAAAAATTAATACTTTTTCACACGAATAAAAAAGTGGCTATTTCGATGTCGCAGTATGGCACGTGTTTGGAGTAATATGCAAAATAAATAAGAATATAATTTATACGTAGATATTAAATGATAGCATTAAGTAACTACTTACACCTCTAACTTGCATCTTGTAAACAGACACGAGTCACATAAAAAGATAAATATTTCTCACGAGAGCAACTGGTAGTGCACGTTTATAGTTTCAAAATTGTAATTTAAAAGATTCACTTTTAAATTCGGTTAAAAGGAGGGAAGAAAACCGAGTTCCTCTTTCCTTGATAAAATAAATATCTTTTGGGAATGAAGGAAAAAAAAGAATTTTCTAAAATGGTTGTTGAGAAAATTTTCATTTCGCTACATTTCGTCTGGTAGATCGAATGGAGATTCGATCTACGCGAGGTGGAGGTCGTATCATCGAGAGTTGCCATCCAACCGTCGTTGGAGAGTGTTACATCAACAAACGTCAACGATATCTATATCGTGATAAAGGAGTAAAGTGAGGAAACGAATCGGCCGGATAGCTCCTAACATGACTCGTGTTTGACTGCGGTAGAAGGCGCGAATAGAGGCGCGAAGCACCTACTTACGGCTCTAACCTGCTTCTTGAGTAGAAAGCAGATGCAGGTCCACACACGGGAGGCCATTAAGAGGAAAGCTCTCATCCCCATCTGCAATTGCTTCAGCATCTCTACTGTTCTTCTCACCGGGCCCAAGTCCGGCAACACTTGATCTCCAGTGTCGAATCTGTCCGCTGGCGTGTGTATACGTGCGTGCACCTTTTTCTATCCTTCCCCCGCTGTGTATTGCCCGCTATTCGCCGCCCGACTCGCCAACTCGCGAATCGCGTCGCGAGTGCGATCTGTGATCCGTGCGATACCTGCTCGCCAGTAGTCGCCAGTGCCCGTCGCCGCCGCCGCCGCTGCCGCCGCCGCCGCCGCAGCCGCAGCCGTAGCAGGCGTAGCAGCAGCCGCCGCCGCCGCCACCGTCGCCGCCAGCACTGCGAGTGCCGAGTGCCGAACAGTCGCGAGAGACAGCTTTTTCACTTATCGTTAACAAATTCGTCAACACTGCCGCGAACGAGTCAAGAACTGACGCGAGTCCGCCGTCTTTGCACCGGTGTCTGCACGACGAGTCGCGTTTCGCACGTGTTAACGCACCTCACCGTGGCTCTTTCATGTTTTTGACAAAACCACAGAGTACGAGTCTTCTTACGCGCACCACGCAACGGCCGCCATCTTCCGCGCATCGACCCAATTTTTCCGTGCGCACTGCGCTGCTCTCGCGCCTCGCGCCGCTCGCCGCTCGCCGCTCGCCGTTCGCCGCTCGTTGCGTTTCATTATCGAGAGAGCCTTTTGCCTGGGAAAAATCGCTTCGAGACATCGTTCTTTCAATATCGCGGCCGCGAAATATCGGCTCCTCTGCAAAAGATGATAATATACAAAAAAAGTAGAAATTTTCTAAATATAGCTCTTACGAAATTGTGAGAAATGAGAAAAATTGGACGAGTCAGCGAGTGAACGATACGTGAGGGAGATACCAAAGCGTATTTTTTATGAGGCTGTTATACATTCATAAATCGCAGGTTAATTCCTACGAAGCTGGATCATCTGCTAAAATTAGAGATTTGCGGGCACCAAGGAGACCGAACTGCCCGTAATCAGAGTGGGCCGACATTTGTGACAGCCAGTCGTTCTGAAAAGAGATTACTGAGGGCGCTGTCATCAACTAACTCCATTCGCATTCGTACGTGACACACGGTTGTCATATGCATGAAGCTTTCGTGGTTATATAATATACGTCTGATCTGTAAATTGGAATTTTTGATAGTGCCACTTCTTTGCTGATCATGTTCTCCTGATACTTTGCCAGTTTCTCGATTTTCGCGATTTAAAGTTTGAAA